GCTGTACGTTTCCTGAACAGCTCTCTCAAGTCATGGCAGAAACATAACGGCCTCGCAGGATTTTTGTTCTCCTCCTTTGTACAAGGCTCTCTAATGGCCCCAGCATTGGAAAGAGCAGCTTTGTGCTGTAAAGTCACTTTGGATTTGTACCTTGTAAGAACGTGTCCAGACTGCTGGGTCCATCTGTCTCTGCTGAGATCATTGTGTGGCTTCTGGACTTGAAGATGATGGTGTTATGGTTGTCCCTATGGTCATGTCACTCAGTGTTGGCTATTGGTATTGTTCCTATTCTGTATTTCTTCCTCATCAGTTCACATGACAGTAATGTCTTTTCTTAGATATTCAGAGACACTTAAAAAGGGAGAAAAGGAACATGCTCCAGAGCTTTCAAGTAGCTTTGTGGAAAAGGTAGAGTATATTTTATTTTGGGAGTATAGCCCAGATAAGACTTTTTACCAAGAACCATTATATCTCAAGTTGAATTTTTAATTGATTTAGCTTCTCTGATCTGTACTTTGCCCGACATGAACCACTCACCTTTGGACTGAGTCCAGGGTGTAATGGAAAGTTAGCTGAAACCTCATCAGCTTTTGTTAAACCTGAGTGAATTTCAGCCCAGCACATTTCTTGTGAATAATTAAGCAGTTAAGCAGCTGATGGATTTGAACCTGTGGCTTCACTCAGCCATATTTCACAAGGAATGGGCTCATAGTGTTTTTTATGGGTCTTCTTTTGGCCTGCTGCGATGGATAACTGCATCATCTGGCAACCCAGAGTGGATGTTTTTCCATCTCCCACTCATTACCAGCATGAGCTGCTCCATGTGGCACTCCTCTCATCAGTTTCTGCTTCCAGTGGTAAAGTCTCCAGTATTTATTTCTCTTTTTCCCCTTTTTATGTAACATTCCGAGTTGTTATCCTTTACTTTAATATCACTTTCTATCAGTACAACTGCTGTAGTCACAGCGAGGGTGTAGTGCTATGGCAACAGTGTATTAGCTGCAGTCTTGCCAGTGAGTAAGACACAGCACAGCAATCAGATGATTTATCAAAATCTGCTGTGGCAGAACTGAGCAGTGAGCTGGTGGCCTGAGCTGTCCCACAACCTGCCCATCTCTTTCCTGTTGGTTGTGATACTCAGATACGTTCTCTGCTGACAGTTTCCAGCGATGCCATTTTAGACCTGACTGACTTAGCACCTTGCAAAATATTTTTAGATGTGCAATAATCTCCCAGCTATCTTTGGCAGTGAGCAACAATGGAAAGCAAGCATTTTTTTTCTGTGACTTTTCCACAAAGGTACTTTCTGTGATTTCAGGGAAGGAGAGAACATATAAATGGAAGAAAATAAAAAGAACACTCCTGGAATGGAGCGCATAAGAGACGTGTCAGATTTCCACTGCTAAAGGCTGCGAGCGCTGCCCTCCACCACGGGCTGCCCTGAGCTCCAGCTGTGGTCGCAGGGTGCAGCCGTGCTCCTCTGTCCCACGTACACAGCTGCGATGGGCACTGCAGCACCGTACGTTTGTTAAGCCTTTGCCCAGATGTGGCAGTGATAAGAAATCCCTTACACAGATTTTACATATGCAAATGTGTAGATGCTCCTTGCCGTCAGGGTTTGGCCAGAAGCTCCTAGAGAGGTATCGAGCAGGGGCAGGCTGCTGCAGATGTAAGGACTCAGAAAGTTTTTAGTGAGACTGGTACTAGTGCTTAGACAAATTATGTTTGCCTGTTGCCCCCTCAACCTAATTAGTCTCCAGTTCTACTTGCATGCAGTGAATCAGTGAGTTTGTATTACTGTTGTCACTACCTTAATAGTACAGGAAGGTGATTTGAGTTAGAAGGTGCTTTATTTTTCATGCTATAAGCCCATGCCTTGTGATTCGAGTGGACATTGTTTTGTTGCATACCAGCATACTGAAGTCATTTATCAGGTGCTGCTGAACAGTTAAATGAGCAGTCCTTAGAGTCTTCTTGTTAGGTGTGAGTATCCCAAGTTTGGATGTCTGTGTGCTTGAGGTTCCCACATCTTCCTCATCCCCTACCAAGGCAGATCATACCATTGCTCTGCTATGGAGAGGAGACCTTAGACTCCTGCTGCACATTCTGCTCCATGCCTCTGGCTGCTCAGGAGCACCCAGTAAAAGAGCCAGAAAGGGTTATTTGTTGTTTAATTTAGCAAGGAAGGCAGTTGATGATGCATGAATTGGTCTGACACCTATCAAGTTCTGTGATCTTATTTGTTAATCTTTTTAACTTTCTGTTTTATTAGGGTAGGGTTTCAAGAGCAAATAGGATAAATGAGATTAAGTCTGCCACCCCAAATTACTCTCCTCTGAGTTACGAGCAGATTCACTCTGTTGAAGAATTATAATTACGAGGAAAATGCTGCCTGTGTAATTGTGTGCTTCGTTCAGAAGAACTTGAGATCCGTAATTATCCGCAATGTGCCGGGGCAGCACATGCTGGCACTTCATTTCAGCTGTAAACAAAACCATGGAAGGTTTCTGTCCAGCATGCTTATGGAAGTAGCGCAAAGCAGCATGGCTGGAATCGCACTGTTATCCATCAGGGCTCCTGGTTCCATTGTGGGATCTAAGTTAACTTAGAGCATCGGCAGTGCAGTGCCTTTGAGAAGTGCTGCTGTTACCTGGAAGGTGGTTGTTGGTGGCGGGGTGAGGAGCACCGCCTGCGTGGAGCAGCGTGTCTTTGGAGCCGTAGAGGCACCTGGTGAGGCAGGTGTAGCTGCTGGGACGCAGGCAAGTCCCTGCACACTCCGTGCTGCTCCCTTCACTTAACTTTTTCATGGGCTTTTCCTTTGAGTTCTGCAATGACTGCAGTTCTGCAGCTGATCATAAAGTGCAAGGGCTGTTTCTTTGGCTTTGTGATTCCATGGTGAGATGAGTTGGTGACACAAAGACCACAGCCTGTTGAAACCTTGGATTCGCCAGCAAACCGAAGAAAGCTTTGAATCCGTGTGGCGTTTATCTGAATTCAAAACAGCTTCCATTAAGTAAAGCCTATGAAAAGTTCATCTAGGTGTGTCCCAGAGATGAGCGTTATTGCTGCTGGAAGCAGCTCTCCCAGAGGAGGAAATGCACAACGTAGGCTCACTGCAGGGCCTGTCCAGATGTTTCTGCAGCTTCCTTCTCGTGGCAGAGTGCAGAAGGGCAGATGCCACTTTTGCCTGATGGGTTAGCAATTAAACCAGCCTGCCAGATGTGGATTACAATTTTTGTTACTTCGGCTAAAACTGTGTGTGCATTAGATGAGAAGGATAGAGAGGATGCATCATGTTTTGTGAGTCCTGTTAGCAGTTTGATTTTCTCTTTCAGACCATTTTGCAGTTATGAGTCAGGACTTGATCTCACATCTGTTTTTATCCATCAGCCCAGTTTACAAATGAGGCCTCTTCTGACCCATCTAAAATTTTATGTAATATCTAATACTGCATAAACATTCTGGGAAGAAAAAAGGGAAGGATGGTGCGCAGACCTTCTGGCTAGTATGTACAGTGACTCACTCTATCCTTCATTTCAGCTTCCATGAAGTATTTTCACACACAGTGTTTACCCATTAAATGAGCTGTTTAGTTTAGCTTATGGCTCAGGTTTTTCATAGTATTTTGATGTATTTGTTGGGAACATGACAAAGGGAATAACAAATGGGAACATTAACTCATCCTTACATTAATCATCTGAGGGAGTCTCTCATGTAATCTTTCTGTGAATTAGCAGCTATCTGGAAGAAAAAGTCTCTTGCCTGCTCACAAAGAAATGGGAGAAAATGTGCTGTCCTTCTAATGCTGGCCACAAGAGCACACATGTTTAACAGTGTCTCTTCAAAGTCAGTAACACCATTCTCAGCTGTTCAAAACAGCACATCAGTAGCACAAGCAGTGCGAATTAGATTTGGGATAATATTGGGTGTGCATTGGTGTTTTTTTTCTCTCTGCAGGCTTCAGGCTGGCAAACAGCCCGATTCAGCTGTAGATGTAACTCAGGCAAAATGTGATCTGGAATGCGTGTGTTAATGCTCGGTTTATGTGAATGGTGGCAAGGTGCTGCAGCTGACTGGCTTGAGCAGTTTGCCAGGCTCCCTGCTGGCAGGGCAGGCAGGAACTGAAAGAGAAATAAGATTGCTGTAATGCTTAGCAGCTTTAGAGAGGCTGTAAATGGCTGAGTGAGTAAACGCTGCGTTTTATTGGACCCGGTTGCCTGTCTTGGTCCAGCCCTCCTCTGCAATGGGAAATGATCTTTGCGGTTAGAGCAACTGTCCTGTAAGTAACAGGCATTTCTCCAAGCTCTTTCCAAAGTCCCCTTGTTTCTCTCCTTGTCTTTTTTGTCCTCCCCTGTTACTTGTGCTGAGTGTGCTGTGTCTGTCAGTGTTTTGGAGCAGTGCTCTCATGGCAGTTGCCATTCCCTTTCTTTTCAGCATTCCCAGGTTCTGCAGCCACTGGCAGAGCTCATGCTCTGTCCAAATTCCCACCAGGGAGAGGTTTTGCAGTGTTGGTTTTGCTTGTTATTTAGAGTTGGAAACCACTCAGGAAGATTCTGTGGAATGTGAATGGCCTTTGCATTGTACCTGCTGTGGTGATCAAGGGTGTAAGAATCCTGTTTTGCTTTCTGCCAGATGAGAACTGGCCACTGTCTGTAAGCAGGCAGTGTACACAATAAACAGAAATGCAACAATTGAACGCAGCTTTTACACAGAGAAGCAAAATGCCAGGTTGCAAATAAAGCAATAGGGTTGCAAAGCCCCACAAGCCACGTGAGCAGCTGGAGCTTTCTGTGCTCTGGAACAAAGCGTCTTTACAAAGGGCGGCTGCAGCGTACTGAAAATTGCTGAAACTGGCAATTGAAATTTCTGATGTTAAATTGTGAATCTGGCTGAATGGCTGGTGGAGAGTGGATGAGACTACCTTTGTGATGGTGGCGAATGGGAAGAAACTGCTCGATACAGCCAAAAGAGCCCTCACCTGTAACTGTTCTCCTCCACAGGTGCCCCTGGCTGACAAAAGCCATCTCCCCAGCCATCCCGGTGTACAATGGGCTCGTGTTCTTGTTTGTGCTGGCAAACTTCAGCATGGCTACTTTCATGGACCCTGGAGTTTTTCCACGAGGTAACAGAAAACTGATGGACTGATGGATGCCCCTTCCCTCTCCCCCCCCCATCCCTTTTTCTTTTCTCTGATAATCTTTCTTGTAGATTTTTAATTTGTTTATGTATTATCTTTTACCCTCAGCTGGCAGTAGAGGTGATATAGTAGGAAGAGCTTCTGAGACTTCCCAGCTTCTGAGCTGGGAGGTGTCAGTTGTCCTTGCACTCGCTGGGGCTGGCAGTTGAGGGTACAGGGCTGCACAGCATCCTTCTCCTTTGAGCAGCTCTCCGGACTGATGTGATTCCAGTTGCCATCCCTGTGTCATGCTGGCATGTTGGATTTAAGTTGCTGTCTTCACAATAGGAAGTTGAATGTAGTGGAGGGGAGAGGCTGAACTTTCTGAAACATCTTAATCAAAGCTGACTTTCCTTCCAAAAAGCCTTAAAACAAATGCGTAAGCATTGAATGCTAGAAAAGGCAATGATTAAGTCTTGCTTTAGAGCGTCAAAAAATGTATACCTTTAAAAGATATCCCTGCTTGAATTAGTATGGATGCACAGCTGATTAAATAGGATAAAGATTGCTCTGCTCATGTAATGGGAAACACAGTGGAGCTCTCTCTTTTAACACAACTTAATGAGAGAATTATCACCTAATTTTATCTGTTTTCCAATAATTATTCTCATGCAGTTTGCATCAGAGACTGCTCTGGGCAGTCTTGCCAAACCGGTGGATCTGTGCTCTTTGCAAGGTGTTCTTGCCCAGCTCTGTTCTGTGAATATAAAAGCTATTTTGAATTGCCATTGCACCTGTCAAGAACAAGGTACCTGTACTGCCAGCTTCCATGAATAGTGAGTGCCAGGTTTCTCCAGGTAGCGGGGAATAATGATGAGCATCTGCTGCCCTTCCCTCCAGCTGAGCCCTGTGAACCTCTGAGCAATTACTGCAGACTCCTGCAAAAGAAATAATTGTGTGCAGAGGCAACATTTAGTCATTTGTGCAGGATGATGTGCATAAAGGTACAAATGGGTGGTAGTGAGATTTTAAAAAATGTAAGCACATCTGGTTTCCTGCATTTTTCAGTGCTTCCCTCTCATCAGACATAACCACACTTGAATATGCTGTGAGTGTGAGGTCATTGATGGCAGCCCCGCTCTTGGCCTTCGGTAGGAGGAGCACTGAAACAATATTGTTCAGTTCTGAACATCTCCGTTTGGGAATCTAATATCTTTGTACAGTGTGCTTTCCTCAAAATGGAGTTTGCTGACTTTCTGTGCCCTACTGTGATCAGGACTGAGCATATTGTAAATTCATGCCTTCCTTTAGACTTCTCTAACTTCCTCTTGCCAACAAGCTCTTTAGTTTGGTCTTTGTATTTAAAGGAGAAAAGAATACGGAGATCAAATGGAAACTTTGAAATATTCATAGCATCATTAAGGTTGGGAAAGACTGCTAAGATCACCTAATCCAACCATCAATTAATTCTCATCAGCTTCTTTTAATTCCCAGTTCCTCAGCAAAGGAGTCAGGAGCAAAGCGGAGTGCCCTACAGCTCGCCTTTCTTCCATCCCTTTCTGTTTACTTGTGGCCGCAGGCTTATCTCCCTGTGCTCTGCATGTACTTGGTCTGAAAGAGGCTGGGAGTAGGGAAAGTGCAAGAGAGATGGGAGTCATACTTAAAGAAAATGAAGGGGTAAAAGTGTAGATGTGTGAAGGAAGCAATCTGATAAGGAAAAGATGGGAAAGACTATAAATACCATTGCTGGGAGGAAAGGGGAGCAGATGTTATTTCAGATCACAAGTGTGCATGCTAAAAAAGCTATTGCTACCCCACACCGCCCACAGAGCTGCAACCCAAGGAGTTCAAAAACTGTGGGAGTGATTTAAAATGATGTACCATGGATCTGTTTGCTTTCTGCTGTTGAAATTACATATTTATCTTGGTTTCCGAGCTTTTTAGCACATTCCCGATAGTTACAAATTTACTTTAAAAACAAAATAATAGAAAAGCAATGCAAAAACAGAGTCTTTAGAAATGGCAGGATTCCTTTAAGGAAGCTGCCAAAAATCGTGAGATGTGTTATAAAACCAGGAGATTTGGTTGCGTTTTGTCAGCAGATAACTGAAAGAATCTGTGGTAAGGTACCGACCTCTACCAATGGCTTCTGGTGCTCAGATCACCTAGAGCTGGTAATAAGGACATCTCCAGCTGTATCTATGAGCTTACAGGTTCTCTGGCATGGGGGAAGTAAGCCCCCTTTTTCTTGTATTACTGAACAGGACCTAAATTAACCTCCTGGATCCGTTACCTACTTATGGATTCTTTTTTTTATGTTGCTGGCTCTCTGAATGATCCTGATATGAGCCAGGTCTTGCTCTGTGCAATTGAGCTGCCAGTAATACACTAAAATGATTGAGAAGAAAGGGAAGTCACTGAAACTGAGACTGCCCTGACAAATCTGCTTTACAGTCTGAATTGAGTTTGCTGATGTTTGTTGCTGGCTAATTATAAATACCAACTGCAAACTGACTTCCAGTATTTTTTATGTGAATATTCCATAAATACTCTTAGTTGTGTCAGTTCTGCCAGACTGATGTGTTTATACAAGCACATATCACTGCACGTACGTATGTACAACTTACTGACTTTTTGACCGCATAGTCAGTATTTCTACAAGTGTTTAAATGGTGTGACCACTCTCGTGTCTTGTTTTCCTATGCCCACACATGCATTGCACAGCATGGACTGATTTGAAGCATTGAAGAACCCAAAGATTGTATTAATAGAAGTGCCCCAAGGGATTTGGAGTCTGGCTCCCACTGACTGCCACTGATCGTTTATGAAGGAAAACTGTAGGGAGCAGTGCCAGTACAGCAGTCTGCTTCCATGCACAAACATTAATCCAGAAAATATTCTTGCAAGGTAAATATTGTAGCTGAGCCAAATCCCAGACTCATCTAAGCAAAGGGAAAAGGTCCTTCTGAAGTTGGTGGAAATTCAATCATTTTAGTAGGGCTAACACATTTAGAGAAGATTTAATACAGAACAGCATGACAGTTATTGATGCTCCACCGGGATAATATCATGAATTTCCACCTAATTTGGAGTCTGTCAATGCCAGCTGCACTGCAGTGTTTTACCAGGTGTTAAGTAGAGTTTAACTTCTTACGTAGTCTCTGTCGAAAGGAAACAAATAAAGATTACAGGAATCTAGAATAAAAGATGAGCTGTTGTGAACATCCTTCTTTCCTTTTCTTCCCAAGATGCATTCTAGACTGGCTGTTATTTTTTTGCATTTATTTTTAAATGGCCTCTTTTTTTAAACAGCAGCACTTGGTTGAGATGATAAGCCATCCACCCACTGGGTTGTCATTAATAAAATGACTGCCATATTGTCCTCCCCATGTTACTAATGGCAAAGAGAGGCTAAATAACTTATCCCAAGGTCACAGAGTGAAAAATTCAGAATGCAGGACTTGATGACTTCCAGTCCTGTGCTCAAATCACTGGATTGTACTGCCTTTGAGAGAAGCGAGATCATCCCAGTTATGTACTGCTACTAAAGTAAGAATATTTGGGGTATGCTATGAAGAAGTGAGCAGGAAAGATGCTATAAGGAAGCAGACACTGGTGCCAGGGCTCATTGCAGGCACACAGATTGCTTCTCACTGTGGCATCAAGCTCCCAGGAGCAAAAGAACTTTGGGATGGTGGTGGACTGGCGCTGGAGCACTTGACAAATTATCGCATGGGGTCATCTGGGTTGGTTTGGAGGTTTGAGCTAACAAAACTTTATTTTAATATCTCTTAATGTAATTTCTTGTGATTTATGTGCTGGTAAGCTAGCATTGAATTAATCTTAAATAGCCTTCTCAACAGGGGCTTGAATATTTCTTGATTTCTGTCTCCTCTTTGACTCTAGTTTGCATCTCATCCCATCCATTCTGCCTGTAACTGTTGGCTAAGATAAGACTCAAACACTTCTCTTTGTCCAGGCTCTGGACTGGCTGCCTGGTGCTCCCATGGGAGCTGCCTCGAGTGCAGAAACAAGCCCAGATCACTGATATGTTCAGCAACCAGGACAACCTGTTCTGACAGTCCATCACTTCCACCACTCTGTTTCTCTGACAAGCCCAAGAGCGCATGCAGTGCCCCTGTATCCAAGGCACTGTCTGGATTAGATATTTTATCATTACTCTGTTATTTCCAGTAACTTTTAGTTTTGCATTGAGCAGCAGATGAAGATGAAGATAAAGACGATGACTTCCGAGCTCCACTCTACAAGAATGTGGAGATTAAAGGAATCCAAGTACGGATGAAATGGTGTGCCACCTGCCACTTCTACCGTCCTCCACGCTGCTCTCACTGCAGCGTCTGTGACAACTGTGTTGAGGTAACAGTGCTGCTGATTGTGTTGACTTTGGCCCTGTGATTGGGGTTGCACGTACATGCTACTGGAAATGTGCAGTTGGGTCCTTCCCCCAGTGTTTCAATTCTTGGAAGTTCCCAGCTCTAACCTTGGTGATGGTCTTCTACTGATCGGTACCATTTGAAGCACAGCCTTCTGTTATGATATATGTTACATATGCAATATTGTTTGATGTCAGCTTTGTTGCTGATGATAATTAGGTTAAAAGGTTTATAATCCTGGCTGTGTCTTCCTCAAGGTAGCTTAGGGGTCGTGATTGTAAAAAAGAGGTGAATGGGAGCATTTGTGGAGAGGCAGAGTTCAGGAGAGCGGAAAGTTCAGGGTGAACTGTTCTCACTTGTGTGTTTGTCCACTAGTGAGGGCACCAGTTTGTTTGAAATGAAGTGATGAACCATAAGATCACCGGGGATGTGTGGAAATCAAGGTCAGAATTCTGTGTGCAGTTCTACACTCAGTGGAAGGGCTCTATGTTTACATCAACACCTCAGCTTGGAGCATGAACTCAGTCATGCTTCTAATGTTGTCCCTCTGAATTATAGGGCTTTCATGTTTCTTAATAACCCTGAGGTCTTGGTAATGCACACAGGATATTTAAAAATAACCCCTAAATAGTAAAGAGTGCTTCTGGGCTATAGACATCTCCTAAAATTCTAAGTACAGAGTACTGTATCCACAGTACTTGTGTTGCCTGGGGGCAGTTTCTATAGCTAAGCTAAAAATTCCATTTGTTAAGGATCATTTCTGATGCAAGGTCTTTTTTTTTTTTTTTTTTTTTTTTTTCCAAATAGAAATGTGATTCTTTTAATGTGTCTATGATATATTCAGCTGTGCCATTAAAATGAAACGGGCTGCTAATCAGACAGCAAAAACTACTGGTATCAGCTAGAATGCTATGTACACCATCTTTGTCCTAATCCTCGTTGCCAAAAGCAAGGGAACAGTCCCAAGGAAAGCAGTACAGTTGCTTGTGTGAGAAGGGCTGACAGGGTTTATCTTGTGTCCGTGATTTTCTCCTTCAGGAGAAAATCCTTAAGGAGGATGCTGGATCTGAGAAGATGGAGAGAAAGGAGCTACTGAAGTCCCTGGGTGGAGGAGAATAGCCACAACTATTTGTTCCTCGTCACACAGTTGCGTTAGACTGCTGTGTATTGTTAAACAGAGGTGGATTTTTTGGAGAAAACCTGGCTCATATATTCCTAGTTTTAAAACAAATGTTCTCACTATTTCTAGATTCTAAGGACTGTTTAGATGATAAAGTTCTCAATTATCCCATAGAATTTCTTTCTTCTCCTCTCCCCAGTGGCTTAGCATGAAAATCCATTTTCAAGAAATGATGTTTTCTCAGAAAAAGATTGCCCAAAACCCAGTGGTACAAACACTTGCGATTTCGTGCTGCCATAGGGCCTCCAGGGGAGGCAGTTCTGCTGCAGAAATGAAAATGAGAGAGAATCCAAAAGTAACCCAAATAAACCAGCGGAATGCAAGGTGACTGCCTACTTGTCAGGAGGATTTATTGATAGTTAGACTGGTTCAGTGTTCTTATTCTTCTGGTGGGCAAGAATGAGTGAAACTCTGCTTGTTTAATTAAATTATGATTGCCGTGAAGAAATGTAGGCAGAAAGCATTAATAACTTCTGAATCAATAAATAGTGATCTTAAACAGCATACTTTATTGATTCTTGTGATGTTTATTTCTGTTCACCTGTCTATTCTACAAGAGCTTGAAGACAGTGATAAGAGTGACTCTGCTGGCTTTTCAGTGTGGAACGCATGCAGGGTTGGAATTCACCTCTTTTCTCATTCAGCCTAGAATGTGCTATGAAAGTTCTTAGCCTGAATATAAAACTTTTGAGCCAGTTTGATAAAAATAACCTAACAACAAAAAATGACAACCCTTGCAGAAATAAAATCAGTTGAAACCCAAAGCCTGCTGTGACCAGATGGACTGAAAAATAAATCCATGACAAAAGTAGTCGGATTTTTTTTCTTTACTGAAATGTTCACAGTGGGTATTTGTATAGTTTCATAATCTGTAGATATTTTAGGAGTGTACAACCAGATTCACATCGTAGGCATATGCTGGGTCAGCATTTCAAGCATAGCCTGGAATGATCCTTATTAAATCACCTCTGGCATTTGCTGATGTGCTTTGAGAAAACCGATCGATTTCTTTTATTTAGTAAAGTTTTGGTAAATATATTGGGCAAAACTTACAAAAAATATGAAAATCTGTAGGAACCTGCTTTGTGGAAAAGTATTTTTCTTGAGCTTGCTAATTAAAAAGTTTAGCTACATATAAATACAGAAATGTCGGGGAGAGAATTCTGCAGCCAGTATTGCATCTTCAGAATACTATGGGGTATGATAGCTTCATTGTAATTGATTCCTCATGTGATGGATGATTAAAAAGAAATCAGTGCATCTGCTGCCAGATGAATAGCCTGTTTTATGTTGCGATGTGTTCTCTTAACTCTATGAACTCTCAAGTACCTCTCCATTCATATATAAAGAAGCCATTTTGTGCTGAGAAGAGCCTTATAAAGAGGCTGTACCTGGTTTGTAAAGCTTCAGAACTAGATTTATGTGATTTTACATGACGACAGTTCAGATTTACCTCTAAGAAAAGCTATTTCCTTTCACTGTTTGGATGTTGTTCCCTGTCTCTCCCTTTCTTTGCAAGGATTTTGACCATCACTGCCCATGGGTCAACAATTGCATAGGACGGAGGAACTATCGCTATTTTTTTCTCTTCTTGCTGTCCTTAAGTACGCACATGGTTGGAGTATTCACCTTTGGCCTGATTTTCATACTGAACCACATGGAAAAGCTGGGAGCAGCTCATACCACCATTACGTATCCTTCTTCTTGGTCTTCAGAGACACAAGGTGGCCTAGAGGAAAATATGAAGGAGTGGATATGAAGGTTTGTCTTCTTGGAACTGGTGCAGGTTTACTCCTCTCCTGATTCCTGTTGCTCCTCCCCTGTAAATGCTTAGGACAGTTCTTTCTTTTTACTCATCTGACGTGTGGTTACCCCCATGCTGTGCCTGATCTTTTGTCTATCTCAGTCATTGCTAAGGCACACAGCAGAAAGATACAGCATCTCCTGAATTTTACTTCCAATTGCGTGTGACTCTACACTGTTGAGTACTCTTTACTGTATTTAAACGTATGATACAGTAGTGTTTGCCCTGGAGGTATGTCATCTTCACAGCAGTGTAACACTCTAACCCCTGGCTCTGAGGATTGCTACTCCCTTTGGTAGGTTAGTGCAGAGCAGTCATTACAAGATGATTGAAGCCAGGATCAGTGAGTTCACTTTATTTTTGAACAATCTCAATGATAAGGACTGTTGCTAGGAATAGATGGACTTAAGGTGAAATTTGGTTAATCTAATCGAAGATGACAAACATGCTCCTGATTTCCCAGATTTTTTTCTCCTTTTCCTTTTCTTGTTCTTCATAGTTTCATTTTCCCTTCACTCACTCCAGTTTCTTTAACTCCTGGGTACAGAATGGCTGTCATGTGTGTGGCTGGGTTATTCTTTATTCCAGTCATTGGTCTCACTGGTTTCCATATTGTTTTAGTGGCACGAGGACGCACGACCAACGAGCAGGTAAGCAGCAGTTTTTTCTCTGTGTAGCTAAGATGTTGATTTGGAAAGAAAAGCCAGCAAGTCAGCTTGGACAAATAAAAAAAACCCAACACTCTTCTTGAGGGTTTTGTGAGGATCTAGGAAGTTTGCCTCATTTTTCATTTTCACTTTTTTTCTTGAATGCACTGCAAGCTCAGATGTTTCCCTTATCCTAACCACAAAGCCTTATTTAACATTTGAAATCTACTCACGTCCTTGAAATAGGTTTTATGTGGTGTGTACTGTCAACTCCAAAAGTTCAGACTTTATGAGTCAGACTGAACAAATCATGAGACTGAACAAAAGAAAGGAAAAGATTAAATCAAGTCTTTGCCCTATCTCCTGATATTTTGAACTCCCCCAGCCAGCCCACATGCTCTTAATAAGGCCTGAGCTAGCTCTTTGTCTCTCTCTCTTTGTCTCCCTTGTTCTCGTGTATGTGCATGCACACACACACACAGGCTATTGGATCTAACTTGTTTTGTTTGTCCAAACCAAGTGCTGACAGCATCTTGTGCCAAAAAAACTGTAAAACTTTAGTTCCCTTGCAGTTACTCACATGTATCATGTTCAGACCCTGTCTGGGGTCTGCATATATACATGTGCACACACTGATAGCATGCAACAGGTGATAGAGATCTAGTCATGGGACCCATAGCATGCCTCTGTTTGTAAGGGGTACTCAGCTGGGGCATGCAGCGTGCCAGTAAGCTGTCTGAGGTCTTTGTACACTGGGATGAGATTGTTTGCTATCCTACAAGAGACAATAAAACCATGCATAAAATCCATGAATAGTGTGAGAAGTTAACATAGGCAAAGAGTCTGAAGTCATCCTGAATTGCTGCCTAACATGGACTTTGAACAAAGCAGGCTTACTGTAGCTGAAAATCCTTAAATGCTTTGCTGTGTCTATCTTAGTCTTGCTTGGAGTCAGCTGGTCTTAATTTTAAAATTGATTTTGGCCAAGTATTAAGTTTGATAGTGCTAACAATAGTAACATGAAATCCAAAGCATTTTAGTCTCTTATCCCAAGTCATGTTCTATCTGAGGCTTGTTTCTCCACAGGGGTTAAAATTGTCCACAAAAATTTGAGGGTGAGGAAGAAGAAAAAAAAAATTAAAAATTACAAAACAAACAAAGAACTTATTCTGTGTTTAGTTATATTTGGACAGGTTGAGAATTTTGCATTTAATTTGATTGAAATAACTATTGGAAAAGGCACTCTAGGTTGGTTTGGTTTCTTGAGCTACCAAAGCACTGAAACACTTCATTTCTGTGCAGTCCTATGTACTGCAGAGCTGTAACCAAAGCATGGATGTTCCCAGCCTCAGGTACCTCTCTAAGTAATTAGGACCACAGGCTAGCCATGATAGATAAAAGATCTGCTTCTGGCTTTGCCACTGCTTTAAAACATTCCCTTTTCTCCTGTAGTCTCAGTATTGATTTTCTTTTCTGACATTATTAGTTGTCTGCAGTCAAGACTCCAGTTACAGTATGCTCAGCACACAGCCCCTTTTCCCATGACATTTTTGTAGGCCAGCAGTGCAGACGTGCGGGGTTTTACTGTGCATTCTTGCTGTCCATTCATTCCAGAGCTCGTAGGTTTTGAGCATTCATAGAAAACAGATTGTGATTTCGGAGTGCCTGGTGGCTGAACACAGTTCTTATGTTTTCTGAATACCTCTGGAATTATTTTATGGAACCAAAATAACCAACATCTGCTCATAGCCTGGTATTTTTAGTTTCTGGATAGAGTGAATAAATACCTCTCCTTCTGAGGCTGCTTTCTATCTGTATCTCAAACTGTGTTGGCCGTTCTGAAAGTAGTGCCTCCTATTTATTTCCACGGAAACTGCAACAAATACAAAGATCACAATGACATCACTTGCTCTACCAAATTCTCAGCCACAAAACCACTCTTTTTCAGTACAGTCATGAAGATTAGCTGTGTGCTTAGCCCGCAGTGATCAAGAGTCTATATGCTGCACTTACAAAAGTCTGCACCAGTGGAGATGACCCACTGTCACCCCTGCTGAAATTCACCACCCAGCCCTCACTGAGCTCACAGCCACTTCTGGGTATCCGTCACCATTCAGCAAGCATTGATGAATGTCAGTAGGTGCCATTTTTTCCACATGGAGCACCCAGTGACTCACCTGTGCTCCATACACACTCCCATGTCACATGCCATTCTGTCAGAGTGCCGCCCTGCTGCCATCTGTCACACAGCAACAAAACATAGCAGGATGTTGGTGGGAAGCTTCAACCTCTGCTGCCATGCCACCAGCAGCCGCCTCTGATGTCATGGGCCAACATCATAAAATAGGAGGCATTACTTTCAGAGCAGCCTTTCTACTTTGGAAACCAAATTGCTATAATTACTAATGTGATTTGTGAGGTAGAGAAATTTTATTTTCATGTTGTGTTTGAGAAGCTGAACAGAGATATGAAGTGCTTTGGCAGCATCTGGCAGCTAGTTAGCTTAAGCCCAGGAATGAATGCGGATGTGCCAGATGTGCAGGTCCATGCTTTAGTCATCAGGTTACTTCCAACACTCAGAACTTCCAGCATGTCTCTCTTGGCCTTTAAAGAGTTTTATGTAATATCAAATAGGCCAGCATAATATATTGCAAAATCATTTAATCATTGTTATTTTATGTGCAAGTAATTAAAGTATTTCTGGTACTCTTTAAACTCGGTGTTAGATCAGAACTGTGAGTTGATTAAAATGCATTACTTGCAAAAAGCAACGTAATGCTTTTATTGGCAACCACTATTAATCTCTCTGGCTTTATTGGTATTTATCCCCATATGGTTACTTTCAAGTATCTGCCTGCTAAGTACAAACCCTTTATAACATTTCTGAAGCTTTGACTACATCCTGCCAGACTAATAAGACTTGACTTTTATTAAAGTAGCTAATTTCCAAGTAAGCACGGTAATCACTGGGGAGTTCCTGGCACCCTCCCCCATGAGACAGTGGTTCATGCTGCCAGGAGGAAGAGGATGATGTGGAAGAAACACTGATCTCATCCGGCATTAAGAACTGTCATTCCTTTTTGTTTGGAGGGGTCTTAACAGGGTAGAGAAGTGGAGGGAAGGAAAGAGACCAATACAGGATGTTTGGCTGACAGCAGGCACAACTCATGCAGGAACAGCATGGAGAGGTGAACGTGGCAGCTTTAAAATGCACTCATATTGAGCTCATGGTGCTTGTGGGAAAGGCTCTTGACTGGTGTGTGTGGAAGCTGGTGGAGGGGTGTGCTTGAGCAGGGGGGAAATGTGCAGCATTCAAAGAACAGCGGTCTCCTGTTTGGGCAAGACAGTATTGTTAGCACAAGACACACTTGTCCTGGCCTTTCTAAGGGTTGGGCAATGATTTACGAAACCAGAATTTGAGCACTGACCTGAATATGTTTCCAGGTGACAGGTAAATTTCGAGGGGGAGTGAATCCTTTTACCCGAGGATGCTGTGGAAATGTGGAACACGTGCTCTGCAGTCCTTTGGCTCCCAGGTAAGAGGAAGGGAGTAAGGGAGGTGGAGAAGTTGCTGGGAAAGAGGTAGCTGTGGTAGCAGCTTCGCTGTTGCATAGCTGTAACCTGCCCAAGCAATTGCTTTCTTCATATAATTCGTAATCCTCATGCCAGAAATAGGTATCTGGAATGACCGAGTCAGCTTAAATCAAGAGCTGATAGCCTTGTCTCACCAACTTGTTCATCCAGTGACTTTCAGTATTAACTTTCAGTATGTTACCACACTTCCAGCATGACTTTTTGTACTGCACAGTCAATGTCCAAGTATTGGTGAGGGATCCTAGCCTACTGGACGCAAAGAAGTTCTCTAAAATCAACATTTCCTCTTGAGACTTGAATCTGATTTAGGGCATCTGGTTTTCAATCCCACTGTCACTTTAATTATCATAGAACAGATTTTCAACCGGGTCTACATTGTAGAACCAAGGATTTTGTTTATGGCTTTCTATTTTTGCAGAAATTGATTTATCCCTTCACATTCTGAAATGGGGATTTTAATGCAGTAGATCAGATGGAGTATAAATATCCTAGATTCTGAGCTGTCTAGTCTGTGTACACACTAATAATATCACAACCAGAAGATTTATTTGGGCCTTTTTCATGATGCTGAGCAATCCCAGACCTCAGTACTGTTATCTGTCTATTTTTTTTCTTTTTTTAACTTGCTGTAGAACAAATAACTTCTACAAGTCTGTTACTTTTATTAAAATGGAGACGCTGGAATAGCCAAAACTTAAAAATCAGGTCAAGATATTTTAAGCTGGACTTTAGAAGCTGGGAGATATTCTGGTTAAGAGAGGTGTGTGAGCAACATCACCACTGCTATTCTCACTTTTAGCAAGCCATGTTTTGTGTTTTGCGAAGACCTGTTCAAATTGTCCTGTATACTGAAAGACACTGAGCCATTCAGTGCTAGAATGTCTTTTTTACTGGATGAAACAGAGAAAGCTTGTGCACTGTGCTGCTTATGTGTTGTACAGCCATTGCCAAATTGCACTTACTGAGTCACAGTCTACTGGAAAGTAATTAAGTATCTAAAATCATCCATTTCCCTTTAGATTTGTTGCTTGCTACAGGCCTGTTTCTTTCACTTCCATTCATGTTAACACTCTAAACACACTACAGAAGCAAGTCACCATGTGATATGCTATAATTGACAGCACATCTTCTCCACATTAATTCCCCACTCGCTGGGTCTTATTCCCCCAGTCTCCTCCACCTTCCACTGCAGGGAAGCTGTTTCATGATAACTAGGTAAGATCTAGTAACTTGCTTCCTTTGGTGGTAGGCCTCTCCTTCTCTCTTCTCATGATTTGTGCTCTTGTGTATCAGTGCTTCCAAAATTACTTTTTTTTTTTTTTTTTTTTTAATACATCCTCTCCTTTTGCTCACTAAAAACCTCAATGATCTTTTTATTGCTTTTTAATTATTACTTGGGCTGACTTCCACTGAAATAAATGGAGCTTACTTATGTAGATTCTATCACATCCTTTAATCATGCCTCAAGTAGGAAGATTGTCTTGTCTCTATGTCTAATTTTTAGGCTACAGTTTATTTTAATGATAACTATTGAACAATTAACCAGGTACATAGTTGAGCCCAAGAAGAAGCTGGCTGTGAGCGTGAAGCCTCCTTTCCTCAGACCTGATTTATCTGAACGACAGATCACAGTGAAGATCAGCGACAATGGGATCCAAGCCAACCTCAACCGGAGCAAGGTGAGATGTCTTTAGGCACTTCTGAGGAGCACATCCTGGGCTTTATGGAACCAAAGCCTGGAAATAACTTTGTCGTAGAAAATCTCCTTGAGAGGACACGTCTCTCAGATGTGTCTCGCCAGTGGTGATTGAGTCCTTGTCTCGTACTTCATCTTCTAAAAGTAACCCAGGTTCAGTAACAGCGGTTCTTAATCTATTATCAGACCTCCCGGCATCTTTTGAAAGAGGTTCTTTGCAGTAGTTCATTATATTTTGTCCCAAGAATTTCTGCCTCTCTGTTCTAATTAATTTTAACTCGTACTGTGAGAACCCTTGAACCACCAGATTGGCTGTTGTACTTTGAGGAAAGTTAAGAGCTTCCAGATGACGGGAAGGTTTCTGGTCCAGTGAAAGGACCGCAGAAGTCGTGTTTCAGAACTTGTTGAGTTCTAAATTTGAATTCTTCACTCTTCTCTTTCCCTTTTTTTTCTTTTTTTTTTTTTCTTGTGGGGCTTTTTTTGTGTTTTTGCTGTGGGCAGTAATTGATTCGTTGGTCATTTGCAGTCCAAAATCAGCCTGGAAGGTCTGGAGGAGAAAGGTATGGATGTGCAACCACCGCTCCCACCCAAAGGAGATCAAAGCAAATACTCTGAGTTAAAAGGGCAGCTGGGGACCAGTGAAGGTATAGTTGCATGATCAGTGTTTTATTTTTAATAATATGAAAATATTTTACCCTCTTTAAAATATTATACTATTCTTTGAGAACACTGAGGGGATCTGGGTGAAGGGTTTTGTTTTTACAAGAGCTGTGAGTTAGAGGAATAAACAGCAGAAAGGGGAAAGAAAACTTGAAGTATTTCATTCCAAGTCTAAGCTGGGTATTTCAGTTTTGCAGTTTTTAAACTCTTTTAAACCCCCTCTTAAGTTTTTATCAGTTTAACAATGAAAAATGTCATTTTGAAGTAGGGAATCAAAAATATTAGCATAAAATGCTTAGTCATAAGAAACGAATATTTCATTTTTGAAAAGATTAAAGCTTTGAGACTGTTTAAGAAATCTCCCTTCTTCAGACAAAACTATTTGCTGAATTGATCCCAAATAACCAGTAATTTGAAATACAGCAAAAATACTACTCACCAAAATATGTCACACCACTTTGTATAGCATACCTTTTCTTCTTCTCTTTAGATTATTGCTCTGGACATGGGCACTGTTATTTCCACATGGGGCCCTGTTGATTTTGGTGGAATTCATCACAAAAATAGCAGAAGTTCCATTCTGTGTGGAATGGAGCTCAGTTTGCAGAGAAGCAAAGATAGCAAGAGCTTAGGAATGCTGTCCACACTTTCCAATATAATGTCTGTGTTTTTTTTCTTATCCAGAAAGTGGCCTTTCACCCAAGTTGATCAGCCCTCCCACACCTGCCATGTACAAGTACCGGCCAGCTTTCAGCAACAATCCCAAAGTCCACTACCATGCTGCTGCTGAGCAGGTGAGTGAGCTGCAGTAGCCTGTCACAATCTGTTCCCAGTTAATTCTGGACAACTTGAGGCTGAGGAAAAATTCGTTACAGGGATCTTGTGAATGTCACAGTGTGAAAACAAACAGCAACATTTGGCATCATTGTGCAACAGTGTAGATTTTCACAGTGCTTCTTATGAAAACATGTCCACTTTTGCAGCATTGCTTTGTTGAGCTTGTTGCATCTATCCTGCTGTTTTCAGTGCAGATAAATAAATACTGGCCTGCTTCCTTCTCTGAGGTAAATTATTTTGTTGTCTAAATGGTGGGAGGGAGCCTCTCTACTCTGATTAATTTTAGATGCTTGATTTTGAAGACCTGTGACCTGATCTTCAGAATTGTTGAATATTTATATCTTGAGTAAAGTGAATAAGAGTGTGCTGGTCCCCAGTGTGCTGAAATGAAGCCCAAAGGATGTCTGACTCAGCACTCAGAACCAGACATCACTCAACTCAAGAGCTATTTGTGGAAAGATTGAAGCAGAGTGCTTTTCCAAGGGCATTATTACCAGATTACAATCTCATTTACCTTAACAGAGTTTCAGTTTAGAAGTTATCTCATTGTGCTCATGCATTGATGTACTAATTAGTCCATATTACTTAGCAGTTACTGTGACTGACTCCTTGATTCTGAGGTGCTGTCCACGTGCTGAGGAGTCACATTCCTCATAATGAACCTTATGAACTTTTGTCGTAGGCTGTGAGTCTGAGAGAAGATGTCCAACTTTTTTTCCTCCTGTGCAGTCCCACGGAGAGCAGATCTGCACATGTCTATTATAGGCTTTTGTTTCTCCTATTCACCTCTGTTTTAGATCACCCTGCAGGAGGGACACAGCCAGGGGGCTCTGATAGAAGAGGATGGCAGAAGCCTTGATTACCAGTCCGAACCCAGCCTGGACATCCCCAGCTACCGCAAGAGCTCCCTTCACAAGACCTATCAGTCTTCCCCACTCCAGATAGATTCCTTTGCTATCAATTCACGATCTCTGAGCCTGAAATCTGCTGGCAGGAGAGGGACAGACAAAGTGCCCCTTCATCCAATGAAGTCTGAAGGGGCGGCTTCCACTCCTTACAAAAGCATCTTTTCTCCCAATTCCCTGTCGAACAGAAATGGGAGTCTTTCATATGACAGTTTGCTAAACCCCATGTCACCCTCGGGGAGGAAGTGCGTTGCCCATTCTGCAGTCAGCTCTGTCGGGTACCACTCACCATATTTATCAGCCAAAATGTGCCATCTACGGGGGAGCGAGCTGCAACGCCAACCACCTCAGAGCTTCAGCCCAGTGCTGGGGGGCCCAGCTCCACATCAGCGAGACCCCTCTCCAGTCCGCTATGACAACCTCTCCAAAACCATTATGGCATCCATTCAGGAAAGGAAAGAGATGGAAGAGAGAGAGAAGCTCCTCCACTCGCACCCTGATTCCGTGTTTGCAGACTCAGGTGTCTATGACACCCCTAGCTCTTACAGCCTTCAGCAAGTCAGCACGCTCTCTGAAGACCCACGCAGCATGGCGATGAGATACGGATCTAGAGACAATCTGATGGCTGCTGCCAGTTTTAGCACAAGGAACCCTATACTGCAGTCCTCAGTGTCTTCGCTCTCAAGTGCAATGACAAGAGCTCCAAGGACTTCCACAACCTCTCTGCAAGCTGATTTAGCCAATAACAATGTCCAGACGCACCAAGCACTACAAGGCAGGGTGAGCAATGGCTCCTACAAATCACCAGGCCACCAGGTCCCATCGTCCCCCACAGGAATGCCTAGGTCACCCTCTTATGGAGGCCCAAAGTCTGTCTCCTTTGTAAACACTGTGGAAATTACAGAGGTGCAATCAGTGGGAGCACAAAGGTATGTACTGCTTATGGTGCTGCTTAGAAATGAGAGGCTGTTTGTGAGATGCCTCCCTGGAGGCACGGCCCTGGTTACGTGTTCATTGTAGGCCAACAAAGGTGGCATATTTTTGGGTGCTCTTCTGTTCTGTGACAGCGCAGAGCAGAAATGACAAAATATTTGCATGATTGCTATAACGTGAACTGCAGGTGGTCAGTGAAGCTGTGAAATTCATTGTGATTTAATATCTAAGGCGGACTTAATAATTATTTGCAAGACGCAGGCCAAATTATCCTTCCTGTTACATATGAAAGGGTGAAGCTGTTGTAGTGCATGGCCTAAAGAGAGGCTGGACCCCACCTTTGTCTGGGCACAGAGGCACTAACAGGATCACGGCACGCACAGATCCTGGAAGCTGTGCTTGGCATAGAGAGCTGTGTGTTCAGCTGTGCTGCATGTCCTGTAGTACAGAAGCAGTGATGAAAGCAGAGGCCATCTCCTCGTGTTCTTCCTTATCATTAGAAGTGGCATCTTAGCAATATCTTCAGCTGCAGCTTCTGCATGCACTTACCTTTCTCTTCCTTCTGGAGACTTGGCTTTGCAATGGAAGGTCTGAAAAGAGCCACATGACCCTGCTGAGGCTGCAGTGTGGGGCCTGGAAGGCTAATTGGAAATATTTAGGCTTTCTTTGCACCTGGCAGTTACTGCACTATGCTGTCTTCTGGTGAATGTCCCCGGTTTCTCATTGTTGGGACTTCCAGAACATATATGAAATCTTTTATCCCATCACTTGGTGAGTCCTGGGGATGAGACATGCTATGTTTTGATGCAGACCTTTAAAAGGTCTTCTGAGAAAAGCCTGTTGTTGCTTCACCCTGGCAGTAGGTCATAAGAAAGGAAATCATTTCAAAGAGTTGATCAGGACTATGGTTTTTAATTACGGGCATCATAATGTGCTTCCTGACTTGATTCAGTTTGTGTCTTCTATGATTGAGAAGTTCTACACTCCAGTTTTTGTATGTCTTTCAGAGATGAGCGAGATAATTTTGTTTAACTTTGAATATTTATCTAGAAAGTGTTTTTTTCAGAGCATTGTGTTTCTAATTGTAAGTAAGCACGGTTTGGGTTAAAGTCAGCAGTGGAAAGATTTAAACTTTCCTGCAGATACTTTGCAATTAGTTCGGTTCAACAAAGCATCTAAGCGAGTGATTAAATGAGCATTTTAACAAATATTACTGCAGTCTGATCCACTCATCTAACGGCCAAGTGAATTCTCTCATTTCAGTGGCTTTTCACCTTGTGCATTGGCTTCAACCAACTCTCATGTTCAAATATTTTGCATCAATGGGACTCAGTCTAACAGCAGTTGTTGTTCATCCTGAATAAAGCCATTCTGTTATCAAACTTTGCTCACTAACATTATGTCCTGGTATTTCTTTTGGTGCAGGGATGATATACAGATGAAGACACCGCACAGTAAAATAAATGGACAGCCAAAAGGAATATCTAGGCTAGGCTCAACGTCAAGTTCCCAAGGAACACCCGTCAGCCCTGCTAGACACTCAAATGTTAAGAAGGTGTCTGGAGTTGGTGGAACAACCTATGAAATTTCAGTGTAAAATAAAATTAAATGAAAACAAAGAGCCATCCACTCAGCCAGCCATGAAGCTAGGAGCACTGTGAAGACTCAAATAACAACAAAGAAGGAGCAGCAGCAGCTGGCCACTCTCCTTTTCTTGTTTTGGATTCGTTCCGTTTTCATCTCTATCTTTTGGCCAAATAAACAGCTGCAGCCTTATTCTTGACGGAATAACATTGTACAGTCCATCAGATTCATCTTAACCAACAGACAGGAGCTGGCTGCCACCTACCACCCCAACCACAGAGCAGATTTTTTTATGCAGGAGAGTGCTAAAGCCATTGTGCGTCTGTCTGTCCAACATCGCGTACCAGTAGTGCAGTGAAAAAATGGTCAGGCCAGGATCGTTCTGTTTTCCTGTGCCCCTTCCCAGTTCTTCTGGCCAGCCATGGGTCCAGCAGGAGTCAGAGGTCCAGCTGCTGCTTTTCTGCTGGCGAGGAAAGGGTGCTCCCTGTGCCGGGCAGTCTGCAGGTGTGAGAGCTGCCCTGCGTCTCCCAGGCATTGCAGGTCAGGTTCTGCTAGGCAGGAGCGTGGCAGGGCACCCTGCACTACAAACACTGTGTCATCTTCCAAAGGCTCCCTGATCCTCAGTCCCAGCTGGGTGCGGGAGAAGAGGCAACAGCAGCTTCTCCAGTCTGCTATTCGCCTTCCCGCGTATGAAAAAAACGTGTGTGCACCCATGTGTCTGTCTGATGGGAAAGGACTGCACCACCAGTGAGGATCTTCCACTCTCACCTCTCATCCCTGTTTTTTAAAGGCTTCTCTGACTCAGAAATAAAATCCATGTGGACACGAAAGGAAGTGTTCAGATGGGAACAAGTTCTTAACAGTCATCAGCTGCTTTCCCTGCACCCTCCCTCTTGCCTGTTGGATCCAGGCAGTAAGGTGCTTACTGCCATGCCTGGTGCCCTGTGCAGTCCTGCAGCAGGGTTAGCATGAGCTGTTGAATTTACAGTGTGTGTAACTGAGCCAAGCGTAAGTCTATAGGATATAAATTTGGTGTCTGCCTGATGACTAGCACATTCCCTCTGGTCTTCAGTACTGTAAGACAAAGGATTTTTCTGTTTGGTTTTTGAATTTTCTTTCCCTTGGGGAACAACTTTTTAAAATAATATCAATCAAAATATTTAACATTCTGAGGTTTCCTTTCCCTGTCTCCAGAAAACTACATTTGCTTTGTTGGATTCAAAGACAACTTTGCTGTTTAAAAACAAACAGAAAACGCAAGAAAGGGTTATGCCATTTTTTGTCTCAGAAATCAGAACTCTGGTAACTCTAATTTTGGGACAAATATTTATTTCCTTTTTTTTTTCTTTCCGTTCCTGATCTCCTTCTCATTTGTACGGAGGTCCAGACCAATGCTAAGCAGCCAGAGTGTGCGTTCTGTTAAAAATATCCTGAGTGACTGTTGCCAAAGTCAGTAAAATTCATTATTTATCACTGAGCCAGTCAGCATATGAAACCTCGACTTTTCACCTCATTCTCCTGGTTAATAGTTTTGACTAGAGAGCTAAATTCCTTGTTTTTCAAGATATTGGTTTCAAGGGGGTTAAATCATTTCCAATCCTTGACTATAAAGGAGAACTCTCCAGCTAATTGGTAGCAATTCAGGATGTGTCGATAACATTTTACTTGTGTTCATCTATGTCGAGATTAATTATTCCAGAAGGCAAATATTGACCTCAGTTTTGCCTGGTTAAAATTGATCTTTTGATGTGATAAATGTTGACATCTACTGCAATACAGAGTTACTACATGCTCCTTTTGTATCGCATGATTTTGGAGAGGAAAACATAATTATGTGTAAAGCTCTATATTGTCTGAAGGGAGAAATCGAGAAAGCAGAGCAGCTGAAATAGGCCAAAGTTATGAGAGAGTGAACTAGGAATCAGTGTGCATTTCATGGTCTCAGTGATATTTTAAATGCCTGCTGTAAGGGCATTGCAGAGCAGAGAAGCAATTGTCCTTCTGTGCAGTTTGCTGGCGTGTGGAGTATCACCACTAGTTGGAGGCACCGCAGTGCCAGACGAGTGCTGGCAGACTGGATCCGATACAGAGGGCTGGAAGACTGGACAAGCTGGCTGATAGGAAGATTCAAGGGGCTAGAAGCGTGTCACTGGCCAAGCAGTGAATAGGAAATTGAGTATGATAATTTTACGGATGTGTTAATTAAAATAGGTAAAACCAAAGGCAAACCAGAGTTGTTCCCAGTAGCCAGTCTAGATTCAGAAGGAGGAGTCAAGACGATAGGGAAAGAGAAAGGGAGTAGTCTTCCGAGGCAGAATACTGGAGACTATAGACTGAAGACAGTCAAACCTTATTCAGACACATGATGAGAGAAGGTTCTGTTCAATGTGGAGCTGCAGGGCTGAGGGGCTACACTCTGCCATCTTTAACTGTTACTGATCTGCAATTCTACCCTAATGTTAGCTCCTCTGGAAGGTGCAGGACTTCCTCAAGGGCAGGAATTCACTCTGGTGCACAGAATAACATGAGACTCACCTGTTTGTTAAATGTCATTTCTGCCACACGTAAGGGATGGTGACACAGAATTTGGGCTCACCATCTAGATGAGGGCACATATTATCATGTATCTATGAATATGTGCGTGAAATACATGCAAGCTAAGCTGAGAATCTGCACCAGTATTGTATTTGAGATTTGCATCCCAGTGATGCTCCACTCTGATCATTTCTTCTGCATTTGTAAAAGAAAACGCTACTGAGGAACTTGAAGGGCCAAAGAGCCTCTGAAATTAACTGCAGGTCAAGAGAAGAATCTCTCAGTAAGAGTGAACACAGTGATGTACGTATGAAGCACTAATATCCAGGGTTCTTTCTGAAGGAAAGGGCAAGAGAGGAAAGGATGGCTGCACTGTGTCATTACAGGCTCAGATGTAAGGATTATGTATTTTGTGAGTAGTTTTAGCCACAGTTAAGACACATTGGATATGGTAACAGGTTTACAATGGTACCAAAGTCTTTTTTTCTTCTTCCTTTTCTTTTTTTTTTTTCCTTTTGAGGTTTGCATATAATTCAGTGCTTATAGCCTGGAGTAAATCATTCAGATCTTCTGGCAGAATAAGCTGAGCAGAACTGTTAACAGGAGATTGCATGCAGCAAGTCCAGCCTCCTTCCCAGCCAAGGCACTGAACCTACAGCCGTTCTCTTAAATGTAAGCACCTGTGTCCATAGCTCCATTGCAGGGGACCTACTTACTGCATCTGATTTAGGAGCAGAATCTCTTCCCTTGTTAAAATATTGTTCTTCAAACAGTTCACAGGTTAGCAGCCAAATTCTTCTATCGCCCAAATCCTCAGTTTTTACAGACACTACAGCCAAATTTTCAGGTGGTGTAAACTGGTGTGGCTCCACTGAAGCTAAGTAAGTGATGCTCATTTTCAGTAGGTGGGATCAGCTATGAAAATCCAGCACAAGTTAACACATATTATAAAGTAGCTTCTTGATTTTGTCATGTTTATTTCATGTTCAGAAGTCTTAAAGCTTTTCAATGTGTTTTCATTTTTAGCTGTGGATTGTATTACTTTAAAAAAAAAAAAAAAAAAAGCAATAGATTTTGTTTAGCTTATGCATCAATGTTCATTGCATATTGCATTTCATTAGCTGTTCATACACTCCCATTTAGCCTCCAGGTTTCCATTGTAGTGCAATCTGCGTTGAAAAGTTGGATCTCTGTATTGTTAATTGTATAATATATTGAGCATTATGAAATTAAATGTACCTTACTATGTGGGTGGGAGAGAGAGGAAATATTTTTACTTGAAGCCTTAATATTTTCTTTTTTTACTGCTTTGTTTGTTGACCTCATAGGAAAGTCTAAATAGCAAAGACTTTGGGCCAAATACTGCACTGATATGCAACCAGCATTTGGCCCCCACGTCAAAACTGGACACAGACAAAACCTGAAGGTAACAGGGGAGAAAGCCTCAGGGCAGCATCTTTTCCTGGAGGCCATTAGAACAGCCTGAGCGCTGTGTCTGTAAGTAAGCACATTAAAGAAGTCCTCAAGTCTTGAATTTTAAAGAAAGGTGATAGCAGGACCTGCCCAAATATCTTACGTTTGCATTTTCTTTTTTAAATTAAAACAGATGTAATTGCAGTTTGGTCAAAGCTCTAAGGGTTGCACTAAGGGCTGTGTTAGTGGCCATGTGCAGCAAATGAACTGTGCTGAGTTGCCATTCTGAAATTGCTAACAAGGCATAAGGGCACATCAGCTTGGCCTGAGATGATCACCCTGTGGGTGTTACCGTGGTGCTCCTCGGGGAATGCCTACTCTACAAGCCTAATGTGGAAATGTGGTTTTCTTTGGACTATATCTATGTCCAGACTAGATATATATATATAGACTTATATATATATATATATACACAATTTTTATTTTTATGTGGGGAAAATGAGGTTAAGATTGCTGTCCCTGACAGTCTGGAAAGCTAATGCTGAACCGTTTCTATGGTCTGTATTTCACCTGTTCTGCCACCTTGAATTGTTGGAATGTATCCGTGCAGGCTTTGTGGAGCTCTGTCTGTAACCTTTTTTGTGGCTCTCGTAATACATATATATATTTTTAAACCTTTGAGTCACTTCAGTACTTTAAAGTGTCCAGCGTCCCTGGTGCGTTACGCCTGACATGGCCTCGTGTGCTGAGTCGGTTCGTGGGGTGCTGCCCCTGTTCATTTCTGCTTCTGCAAAACATGGACTGAAACAGCTGAACTGGGCAGGCCAGTTCCAGTGCAGAACCCATGGGTGTCAAAATATTAAACCAAGTGAATGCAGGTGCTCATCTTCAAGGTGCTTTGAGTAGAAAATAAGAACCTTCTAAAAAGTGCCTCCTGGTTGTGACCAACGGTTCGTGCTTCTGGGGCCGCAGCAGGTGGTGCAGGGCAACACGAAGTGAAGCTTCTCCCAGTGTCTGTTGTCGAAGTTGTGGGACTAAATAGGAATCCTGTGGTCCAGCACAATTGGGAATTGTTGCTACAGAGTAGTGTGGAAAAAAGTGTCCTATCCAGGATATCTGGATGTATACATCCCAAAGATGTGTGACTTCTCATCTATCTGTCTTCATCTGTTTCTGTTCTTTGGAAACACGTCCATTTGATGTGTAAGATTGGCTTATAATTCACACAACTGCCAAACTCCTAACCGCAGCTGCTTCAGGATTTCTGATGCTGTAATTTGCATATGTAGACTAATTATATTGAGCAAGAACCCATTCAAACTTGTTCATTATAAATACCAATCGTATCTGCGTGCCGTAGAGGCAGAGGTTACCTTACTGCATGTCCAAAAACTTAATCAGCAGGCTCCATTGATGTTAACTAAGTCAAACAGATTTATGTAAGGTCATGAACTGTTTTAGTACATTTTATTTAAAGACATGTTGGCTTACAGAGGTCTTGGCTTTCCTCTCTCTAAGTAATGGATAAATTATCCACGTTTATATTCAATCCTCCATCACTGTTTTTTTTTTTCATTCTGCAGGATGAGTTTCAGTTCACATTTTGGAACATAATAAGGAGAGACAAAGGGAACTATTTATACAGGTGAATCTATCTTCTAAGAGAGAAGCAGTTATGTAATAAATGGATTAGAGTTACTGTCAAAATAGGTTTTGTTCATCTTGTCACAATAACTTGAATTTTAAACTAAGGCTTGTTTCATAGCTGATATCTGTATAACCCTGAAACATTTGAAAGGTTCCTTGGTTAGACATTTCAAATTATATGAAGAAATATGATCTACTTCTGCAAATTAAAGAGTCTCGGAGAAGTGATGGTACATTTTACAGTGCCTTATATATATGTGTATATATATATATGTATATATATATAATGCCTATGTGTATATAATGTATACATAACTGTACATATATATTCCAGTAAAACTAGTTCTAGGTGTCCCTATCTGGTGTATTTTAAATGGAACTGATCTGTGTTGATAGACAAAGAAATGGTTGTATCAGCAGCAAAATACAAAACCAAAAATACTTATTAAAACATTAGCAAATAAAACAGACTGAAAACAGTGTTTCTGCCAGTGGTTATGTTCCATGCTGTGGAAGACTGGTAGGTATGCCCACTAATTTAAGGCATATTTGGAGAAGAGAAAGCACCGATGGAAGCTTGGAGAAGGCGGAGAACATCGGAGAGCTTTCCTTTCCCCCCGGCACGGTGCCCCTGTTTGAATATCTGCACTCACTGTGTTACGAATTTGCCCTCTGTGTGATGAATTCTGCGTTTTCTCCTGAAGCCACGTACGAGTTTGGCTGTGGGACCTGAAGGCCCTGCTGCTCTGACCTGCTGCTGTATTCACTGCCCCCGTATTCACTGCGTGCCACGTGGCTGCATCAGCAGCAGATGGTGACGCTGGGCTTCCTGGAGCTGGGCCTGTCTGTGGGAAGTTGTGAGAGCACCCCAGCAAAAGAGAGCTGAAGTGGGGGGTGGGCTGTCTTCCAGGGGCAGCTAAGAGCTCCGATGAACTGTCAGAAATTGCCTGAAACGAGTGGCCTTGGGAAACCCAGCTCTGACTGCAAGACTCCTTCAGCCTCACTGGCACTGATCCACCGGTTCTTTCAAATGGGAAAAATGGTTCCTTCCTGCCAAGTGTTTTTTTTCTCCCAACAGGAATGCGGTCTTCCTGATACAGGCTAGATACAGAATGGGAAGTTTTGCAAGGCTTCAGACAGTGGATCTTACCTAGGGGGAGAGAGAAGTGTCTTCTGAGGCAGAGATGCATCTCATGATTGTAAGGATTCTTTGTCTTGCTTTTTTCATACAAATTATTTAATGCTGTGCTGCCATGCTGTTTGCCCTTTAGACATGCTTTTTTTTCTACTGTGGAATTTCATATAATAGTGTGACCGTTTATTTGCAGGGAATATAAAGGACTGACATGTCCTACCCTCACAGAATATTAGATCATAAAATGCTGGCGTGAGGAGGATGGCATCTGAGCAGTGTGGGCAGTGCTGAGCTTTACCAATGTTTTCTAAACACAATCCAATTTTTTGGCCAACTCTATTTTTAAAGCAGCCTCTCTCCCTGCTAACAGAACCTTGATATCTTCATGTATGTGCTTTTGAGTGGCAGCCAGCAAGGAGGGATGTGGGTGTACTAGTGGAGCACCAAAGCAGTGCTTTCCTGCTTTCTGGCTTGTCCTTTCCCATCACGTGCAGGTAAGTGTCTCCTAGGCAGTGGTTTCTTCCTGCATCCCCTGCATGAATGGATCTGAGCTGGAAGGATCCTGTGATGCCATTTCACTGTACCGTGTAAAACCAAGGAATTAAGTACTTCTAAGTAGGTGTTGGTTATGACTAGCTTTCCAGATGCACTGTGACAGCATGCAGACGGGCTGCTGTGTTGTTGGCCCCAATCTTTTAGGATTGTGACTTTGTGCTGCTGTCTTGCTGGTGCTTTCCCAGCATTGAGCTGCGATCTGCAGGATGAGCCACAGCAGTTAGATGTTCATTTGGAAGCACAGTCTGCACTTAAGGTGCAGGAATGGGCACCGGGTAGTTTGGCACCATTTCCTGGCTCCACTGCAAATTGCTGCTGACCTTCTGTGCCTCTTTGCTCCGTGTCGGATGGTGATGTGACTCCCCAGCCTCACAAATGTGTTGTGTTTGTGAGAAGCACAAATTGTTCTGCAGTCTGTGTGGCTGGAGCCAAGTAGTTGCATCCCACAGGTACCTGGGAGCAATAGGGCAGATGGGGGCCAGATTTAACCTCGAAGTATCATTTCAGGAACGTTCTCGGGAAGAAGATTTTGGGTGTTTGTGTGATTGGTGTTGCTGACAGTCGTCTTACTCTTTAGTGCTGACTTTGAAGGGTAGTTTCAGTAAAAATATGGTAGAAATGTCTGCCTTGATCATTCCCTTGACTTCTTGCATATTTCCCTATAATCCAAACCTCTTCAAATAACCCTGACACAGCACTGTCCTCATTCTAAGTGGTCATGTACTTGATTGCATCCAGCAACTCAGCTTTTTCTTGCCTGCTTATTCAAGCAGGTGTACATGATACAATACAATAATAATAATAATTAAAGTTGCTGAGCAGAAATACAGTAAAATAGCTGTAAGGCCATTGCAGTGTGCTTTGATAGCGCAGAACACAGAGTGAGAGCTGGAAAAAGAGGTAATGGAAAAGAGAAAAGATAGCTTCAGCTGACATGAAAGAGAATAGATAGTGTCAGTAGAGAGCAAAGGGCAGCTGGTTTTATTGCTGGCAAGAAAAGTTTCCTCCAGTCTCTATCAGCGTGAAGGATTGGCCGGGTCAGGCAGCACGCTGTTAAATACATAGAAGGTCTTTTCTTCCTCTCCAGATGGATTCCCATCATTATATTTTGGAATGTCAGAAGGTTATAATGTAGGCAGGGCCTTGACCAGGGCAGGGCTGTGAGGCAGAGCAGTAACATAAATCTTCAGAGCCCTTTAAAGGATTAGACTGGGGGCAGAAAACAAGCCAGCAGGAGAAAGTTCAAATGAAGATCTGTCCTGGATAGCAGGATAGCCATCAGTTTTTGGCAAAAAAAATTCAAATTTGGCAAATCTGCATTTGTCTCTGAGAGGGACTTTATATAAAACACGTTTTGATTTTAAACAGCAACCAGTCCTACAATGCCACGTGTCTGCCACCTGTACCATAAAAATCCCAGAGCAGTGCACTGACAAGGAATTCCCCAAGTCATTCCAGCAAAGACAGTCAGAAACACCCTTAGTTTGAAACCAGATGGCTACTTCTGCTGACACTGGCTGTATTTGGCAAATACTGGATAGAATTTCCAAGTCAGTGCACACACACACATGGACATATTTACATTTTTATGTGTGTGTGTGGATATACATAATAAAAAGCACAGCCTTTTAATTGTGTATGCTGTGATTCATCAGCAGCAATAGCTTTTGGCAGGGACATAATTTCAAATCTCCTGCTGAGGGTATCTGCCAGAACACTGTTGGACAGAGATAGGATGAAGAAAGTTATTTATAAATGGGGATAATTAGGTCTTGTGCTTATTAGTGCTGGGAAGGAGGCAGAAAAGCGACGTGTAGTACTACTTGTAATACAAGAAGATGCTCCCCATGATTTTCTCCTTGATTCAGTAATAACCAAGCACCTCAGCTGGAATAGCATCAATATGTGCTGCTCCCAGGAGGCAGATCTGGGGCAGGGTGGGGCTGTCATGCTGTAGGACAGACAGATCTCAACTACACTTAGTCAAGTTTGAAATAGCGCCACAGGATTCAGCTTCACTGCTGCAGGTGCTGAGCTCTTGTAACCGATGCGGCTCTCATTACTGACTTTTGTGTTTTGCGTTCAGGTAAAAATAAACCCTGAACAAATATGAACTGCACTAACTCCTCTTATTCGGAACTGCAGGCTCTCGGCCACACTGTCAGGAGATGGCCCTGGCTCCATCCGATGTCGTGCTTGTCTCTGTGAGCAGAGGAAGGGCTGTGTCTGTGTCACAGCAGCCACACGGATGTACGTTACGCCCATTTGCCTTGAGACATACTGTCATTAAGACAAATGCAGCATTCCTCTGGTATTCTCCCTGGAGGTATAAGCCTAATGAACACATAATAAGGTCACGGTTTCTCCTGCAAGTGCAATTTTTTTAAGCATTGGCACAATGCCGAGAATACAAATTTTACTGTAATTCTGCTCAGCAACTTTAATTATTATTATTATTGTATTGTATCCTGTACACCTGCTTCAGTAAGCAGGCAGGAAAAAGCTGAGTTACTTGGGGCAATCAAGTACACGATCCCTTATCAGGGTGATCAGCGTGCTTAATGGCAGATGGCTCTGAGCAAATGCTTTGCTTTGCCTGGGCCTCCCTGCCTGACATGGGGCTGCTGCTGGGGGGAACTGCTGCCATGTCACCAGCAGAGAAAGGCATGGATGTGGGTTCTCCAGACCTGTGGTTAGAACCACTTCATCTAAAAGTTATTTCATCTACTTTTTTCCCTACACGGCCTCAGTGGGGCCTGTATGTGAACACACTGCGTGTAAAAGCCTGCTTCCAAAAGAACAGCAGGGTGTAGACAGCCTGTGTCGAGCTCATCCCTAGGGTGATAGTTCTGAAGGAACACAGGGATGCTGGGAACCAGCTCTGGACAGAGGTGGGAAAGAACAAGGGGATACTAGAGTTTTGCCTTTGTAGTTTTTGTTAAATATTAATGGATTGTTAAAAGTAGAAATCCCCTGAATTGTGTAGTGCTGTACATCTCAGCACCTAAAATGGTTTGCAAGCAGAGTGCTGCCATTATTGCTGACACTGACAGTTTGTTAGCAAAATCAAGGCTTACTGATAGCTAAGACAAAAGGGTTGGGAGGGAGCTGTTCTTGAGGCAATAGTATCAAATCTCTGTTTGTTTCCTGGATAGTGATTGCAGTAAAATACTCTGCTTATGTTTCCATTCCTTAGACCATCTGTTTCCAATGAGACCCTTCTGGCGTGATGCATCATTATTTATTAGAGCATTACTGTAGATAACACAGCATTAGTATTTTTGTAATAAACCCTCCATTTTATGAGTATGACTTCAGGGGCAGAACTGGATGCCTTTCCTTAATGAAAGAGGTAGAGATTGTATTAGTGTAATTCGTTTACCAGTTCAGAAATGTTCTTTTTAGTCTTTCACAAATAACATTTTTGGTGCAGCTTTTGATTTGTAACTCTGCATGCTCATGTTTGGTAAATGCAAACATTCTAGTTTTAAATGGCCCTACTGCTTACTGAGGGAGAAAGGAGAGACACAGCCTTGGTCAGCTGCTCACGACTCTATTTGAGATGCTTCTCTTTACCAGCACTGCTAAAAAATTTCCTTTCCATGTGCTTCAGCCTGAGAGATGGTGACTGTGAGCTCCAGGTTAAGAAGTGGGTTAGTCTTCCATGATTGACTTTCTCTGCCCTAGATAAGGTGAAGCTTCATTTTAAGTATGTTTATGGAGAGGGCGTCTGTGGAGGAGGGCAAGTCTTTCATCCTCAGTGAGCTCCTCTCTCGTTTTTGTGGCCAAAAGAAAGCTGAAGGATCCTTGAGTGCGTGACTCACAATACCGAGATTAAAGTCAAGATCTGAATCAGATCTGGCACAGATTTGTGTAGACTTCCTTTCATGCCAGAATCTCCCTAGATTTTATGTTGTATTTAACCAACACAGATCTTGTGTGGTTGTGTTAAAGTCTTCAGTGGAGCAGTCAGATACCATCAGAAAGCCAATAGCACACAGCTTCCAAATCTTTTTCTTCTTTTTTAACTTGTCAAGTCATACAAACCAATGATGCTTAAAAGCAGTATTTCTTGCTCTCTAAAACATGTATTAAACGAGCTCAAATAGACATCATTTTATAACCCAATAGTTTAAACTAGCATATCATTTAAATTTTGCTGGGCCTGAAGCAAGCCAGGATGACATCAGTATTTCCTTCACGAAGGCCAGCAGTGAGCCCACAGTGTCTGAATGCATTTGGATCCAATGACCTCATGTTTCCTTTTCTCTCTCTCCTCTTCTGCTAATAAATTTACAGCTGCATTTTGTATCATGCGAGATGATATATTGTGAGCAAACATATTGGGGTCATGGAAAAGGCTTTTCAAAAGCACGTTTTCTTCATGTCAGATGTCCTTTTACTACTCTAATGGTTTTTTTAAAAAAAAAAAAAAAAAAAAAAGCCTGAAAGTTCCTAAGTTTTTCTTGCCAGCTGTAAGCTAGAGACCTACACAGCTAATGGTAAACATCCAAACACTGCCTCATCTCTGCAGTGATCTGGGTCCCGTGCAGGAAACAGGAGTTCTTCGTACTCCTTGTGCAGTGAGGCTCACACCGAGCTGCCGTTGCTCCTGCTGTCGCCATCAGGTTTTGCTGCCTGCCAGGAGAAACAACACTGTTTGTCAGACAGCATCCGTGCCGTCTGTTCTGATGGCTCTGTGACTTCTGGAGGTTCTGTGGTAGCAGCACAGCCCTGGCCCTCAGCACCTGCGTAGCTCTGCATCTCACACAGGTGGGGTGGCCACTGCAGCTGTCAGTAGCGCCAGCGTGATGCTGTTGGACTAACAGGATAATTCCATTAGTGTGTGCCATCAGTAGTTGTTATCCTCTTAGGGGGATTTTCTGCTCGCAGATGAAACGCAACACAATGAAATGGGATTAGAATTGTAGTCATACGAGTATTAAAACAAACACAAACGGGAGCATGGAGTGAAACAGCTCCTAATGCAGTGCAGGGCAGTGTATCTAAGCTATGGCTACCACTGCAACAAGGTGTTTTTTTCAGCCTGGTTGACTTCAGGCTTTACAGAATGGTAGACTTAAATTAAAAATAATATTTTTTGATTTATTGAGCAAAGTAATACTCTCAGAGGAGATCTCAAAAGACTTTCGCACATAAATTAAGTATGATAGTCCCTAAAGCAACCAAAACTCAACTGCAGTGTGAGCATCTGCAGAGATTTCTGATGGTGTTATCACAGAAGAGTGACATCCAAGATGCAGCACTGAGGCAAGCAATCATCCATTTTCTTTTCTAGCACAGTGAGATTGACCAGGTGCTCAGCAATGTGGTGGGGGTTTTTTTGCTGAGAAAACAGTTCTGATTGCTGCTTATGGTCATGGAGTGGTCTGTGAGTTCCCTTGCTGGTGGCTGAGCACAGCCCTGCAGTGAGCCGGTGACGGGCAGAATTCCCTCTGTGGGAATGGGGATTTGGACCTCATCTGGGACATTTTGTGCAATCAGTGCTCCTGTAACAACACCAAGATTGAACCAAGATTTGGTTTTAGATTTCAGTTCACACAAGGGGGAGATTTTTATTTTTATTTTTTTATTTTTTTAGCAATTGCAGTGTTTGTCCCATCCGGCTTCAGCCCAACCCCAGGCAGAGGATGGGATCACGTGCATGTGCAGCTCTGTCAGCTGCTGGGAAAAGAGGAGTGCTCTCTATGGAGATTTGGTTGCAATGTTCTGTAAATAAGCTTTTGTTCTTCTCGGCTCTTGACGAGAAAGAAGATATACAGTATAAGTACAGTATCTATGATAAGGGCTAATACTTCCAAGTTAAAGAAAATAACAAAATAGAAATGTTAAAGCTACGTAAGAGGAAACGTTAAGCTCAGTACCTTATCTATAGAGACAGAGGTATGCAAGAAGGACGGAAAAAAGCAGCAAATCTGTAGCAAACAGTCTCAGTCTCTGCTCTGTCCGAGCTGTGTGGCCGCAGCGGGTCTGCGGGGTGCGTGCTGCTGTGCAGTGCTGTGCAGTGCTGTGCAGTGCTGTGCAGTGCTGTGCAGTGCTGTGCTGTGCTGTGCAGTGCTGTGCAGTGCTGTGCCGTGCCGTGCCGTGCCGTGCCGTGCTCCGCTGTGCCGTGCTCTGCTGTGCTGTGCTCCGCTGTGCTGTGCGTGAAACAGAGACACGGAGCGGCGGGTGAGGGAAGGACGCAGAGCTGAGAGCTGGGAAGGGCCCGAAGTTCAGCACGAGAGCCGCTCCCGCCCCGCCGCGGTGTGGTGCAGCTCTGTGTGCGGGGAGCAGCCCTTCGTGCTCCGCTCTCCACTCACCGCGTGCAGCACGGCCGCTGCCAGCCCTGCGCTGCAACACCGCGCGCTCCGGCCGTGTGCTGTGTGGGTCCGGGGCCCGCAGCGTGGAGGGGTGGATGGGAATTGGAAGGATGCATTGTTAAATGTGAAAAATCTGAAATGTGGCAAATACTGCACTTGCAATAGGTGGAAATGAGCGATGAATTGGGATGTCAGCTCAGAAGGAAAAGCACCCCGTTCTGCTTATCTTTCTGCAAGGATTCAGTCGGTTTTAACTTGCAAACAGGTTCATACAAAGCTCTAAATGGTTGCTCGTGAGACCATGTGAGGTTTAGCACTGTGCACACAGCGAGCTGCAGCTCCGCGGTGCGGGCAGGGGAGGAACACTGGAGCTCTGGGCGTGGGGCTGCAGGGCTGCCGGACTGGGAGAGAACTGCGTGGGGCTGCTGGGGTCCTACAGCCGTTACTGCGATGCTGGACGTGTCTGTGCAGAGATGGGCTTTGGGCCTATCTGGAAAGCCGCCGTTCAGCTGCTTAGTCGGAGGAATTTCTGGGGTGGGGCCGAAAGGTGAGATGCCGACCAAATCACACGTGAGGAGCGTATCGATCGGGCAACAGAAATGATCATTTGTTTTTCTTCCTTGATCCGGAAAGCAGAAGGAAGCCTGCACAAAGGAAGCGGTGGTTGAAGCAAGGCACGCTGTGCAGAGATGCGCGGTGTTGCGGTACCCAAATGCCGTTATTTAGTAGAGGCACGCCGTGCCCAACCGTTAATGAACGTCTTTTCCTCCGACCTACGCAGGCCGTCTCCTCGGAGCCGTGCGGACACAGCTGCTGTGCTGCGGACATGGGCTGCACGGGGCAGCTCCGACCGGCTCTGCACAGCGCTGACGGTACTGCCGTGCCGCGCCGTGCCGGTGAATGTTGCCCCACTCGGCGCTCCGTCCGGGGCGGGGCGGCGCGGCGCGGGGCGGGCGGTGCGTGGGAGCGAGGCACGCGGCCGCCGCCCGCGCCATGTCGTTCCGCCGCGCCCTGGCGTTGGCCGCCTGCGGGCTGGCCGGCGGCTCTGCGCTCTTCTCCGCCGTGGCCGTGAGCAAGCAGCCGGCCCGCGGAGACGCCGAGCCTCGCCCGGGGGGCTCCGCCGCCGCTCCCCCCGCGCCGCAGGGCTTGCTGCTGCTGCCGCCCGCCGCCTCCTGCCCGCCGGGCCCGGGTTGGATCGAGCGGCCCGCGGGCGGCGGCGGCTTCTGGGACAGCAACTGGGACCGGTGCGTGCGGCGGCGCGGGGGGCGGCACGGGGCCGGCCGGAGGGAGCGGAGGCCAACCCGGGCGGGGATGGCGGCGGTCGCGGCGCCCTTCGGTCGGAGCGCCTCTTGGGTGCCGCGCGGCCGGACGGCGCCTGTTGCGTGGGGGCGGAGCGGGGCCGGGAGCCCCGAGGGCCGGGAGCTCCGCGCCGCCGGAACCCCGCCGACATCTTGCAGGCACCCGGCGGAGCCGCGCCGCGCAGTGCGGCCCTGCGGCGCTGTGCGCTGTGGGTGGGCGCTGCGGGGGTCCGCGCTGTACCGGGGGGCTGCGAATCGGTTTAGCGGCGGCTGTCGCCACATTTATTGGATTTATCTCTCAGTTATAAGCCATAATCTGCGGGATTCCTTTTTTTAACGCGGGATTTTATTGATCGCTCCAGCTCGGTGGTTTCAATCCGTTTTGCGATAGAATTGCTTAAGCCGTCCATTTCGGTGCTTCGGGTGCGTGGAACTGCGGCAGGCTTCTTGGGTTTTGAAATTCCTGTCTCTGTGTTCCCTCCCACAAATGCTGTTCCGCACACGCCCGTCCAGGCGCGAACCGCTGGCTCTCATCAACCTCAAAAAGAAGAACGAGGAGACGGGGGAGGAGGAGCTGAGCTCCCGCCTGGAGCACTGCAGGGCGAGGGCCACCCGCCACATCTTCCTCATCCGCCACTCGCAGTACAACCTGGACGGCCGCGCCGATAAGGACAGGACGCTGACCCCGCTGGGTACGTGGGTACAAGCTGGACGCTGTGCTCCTCGCTTTGGGCACGGAGATGGATGGATGAGAGCTGCTGGCCCGGCAGTGCAGCTCTCCTTCGGGTTTTGCTGCCAAAGCTTCTTCACGGATCCCTTGTAGCAGAAAGATGTTGCAAACGTGGTTTTTCCATTTTTGATCTTCCAAATCCAAACATTTAAACTTGCTTTACGGCATTCAGGAAAACACTGGCTTGTGAGAAAAGCATAAAGGAAGTTTCCAGTTATTGTAAGGTTTTTGAGCAGGTTTTCCTGCTGGCCAATACAGTTTCCCTTGGCTGTGGCTTTTGTCTTAAACTGAGCTCCATAGCAACCTTTGAGGTAGAGTTCCCATTAACCAATGGGTTGTGTTTGTTAATTTGCTGATTTATTTCCTGAAGGTCGAGAGCAGGCTGAGCTGACGGGACACAGACTAGCAAGCTTGGGATTAAAGTTTAATCAGATCATCCACTCCTCCATGACCAGAGCAACTGAAACGACTGAAATTATAAGCAAATACCTCCCAGGTGAGTGACTTCTGTTAATTTCTCAGTATCTTCTGATCCTTCGGACTACTTCCAGTGGGATTCTGAGCTAGTCCTTGACTTACAGTGTAGCTGAGCTGTTAGTAATCAACCTCTAGACCTGTGTGAATGTCTGTAAAGAAGCTGACAGCCCTCCTGTGCTTGTTCCCAGTTTCTCTTTAAAACATCAAGGGGGAGCTGCCCCTCAGATGCTGGTACCTGTGTGTGCTGCTGTGTGGGCAGCTCTGCTGGTTGCTCTTCCTTTATGCATTTTGTAAAGCTAAGACTGCTGCAGGTCATCAGGAAAAAATAAGAAAAATGTGTTGGCTGCAGAGTTGTGGGCCTGTTTGCATGAACATGTGCCGTAACAACTCCTTTCTGAAAGGCATTTAATATTCTAGGTGTCAAAAAAATTAGTACTGATCTGCTGAGAGAGGGAGCACCTATAGAACCAGACCCTCCCGTCTCCCACTGGAAACCAGAAGCTGTGGTAACCTTTACACTTTGTTTCATGTGTTTTCATTTTTATATCTTTGAGTATACTTTATGTGGACAGTGGTAATAACTTGTGGTGAGCTGATGCTTTTCATCATAGACCTTAGATAAATGTGGTTCTTCCTCCTCGTTAAGTGTACAGAACCCCTACAATAATTAAAAATCTCTCTGTGCTAATTGAACCTCAAAAGAGTGCATCTGTGTGGAGAAGAAATCTTTAGAAGATGTAGCCAACGTGCAAACCTGCTCTGAGCTGTGTTTAAATCTGAACTCTGTGCCATTAGCAGTATTATGAAGATGGAGCTCGAATTGAGGCTGCATTTCGAAACTTCATTCATCGAGCTGACGTAAAGCAGGAGGAGGACAGCTATGAGATCTTTGTCTGTCATGCCAACGTGATCCGCTATATTGTCTGCAGGTGTGTGTCGGACTGCATGCTCACCTGTGTTCTTTGAAGGTGGAGTTGTGCTCAGTTAGCATTGGTGTATTTGTTGCGCAGAGCTGGGAGGACTTTGTGTGCTGTGTTAGAGATGGCTGGAGGTGGGTGCTCACAGTAGGAGCAGCTGATCCTGCAGCTTTGTCACACGGTGAATTTGGAGATACAGGATTTGAAAATTAGAACACTTTCAAGTGAAAATGGCAAAGCTGGGGACACTTGATGCCCTTTTGTATGTCTGAGCAGTCTCTTTAGCACCACGTGCCTCTGCATCACAAAAACTGAAGATCGTATCTGGAAAAGACATAGATATCTGGAAAAGGCAGATAGAGCACCCACCTAGCTGCCTCTTTTTGGGGAGATGTGAATTTGATTCTTATTTAATGAAAGACTGATTAAGTTTTGGCAATTCCTTACTAGTTGTTTTTGCAGTACATACAGATGGTATTAGTGTGTTCTTTGCAATAACATCGAGTGTAGGATTGGATGGGAGAGGGCATCTTCCAGCTAATGTCAGTGTGGCCTGCGAAGGAGAAAAAAGTTCTGCATCTTTGCCTGTCTCCATATCCAGTCAACCAAGTTTGTTTGAATCCTCTTTCTCAACAAAATGCTGTCTGTAAGATAATGTGTTTTGAGTGGGACAGATATGATTAAGCTGATCAATAACTGCAACAATTTCAGTTAATTTTTTTTAGCTGAGCTAGTTGTGTGCCAGCCTGCCTATTCTGCAGACTGCTTAGACCTCTTTGAAATTGCTGTACTTAAAGTTATTGATCAGGTACACAGAGTATTCTTTTGTGTGCCAGAAGAGGTTGCCTTTCTGCTCCCTAGGCTTCTGAAATACTTGCATGCTTTTTCTCATTGCTTTCTTCCATCTTCTTTTCACCGTACCCTCTGTATCTGCCATTTCAGGCTATCTCATAGCAATTGAATGCAATCCACAGTGTTCCTTTTGAGTCCAGCTTGACTGTAGCTATTATCTGTTCTTTCAGGTTTTCTAAAAGACCGCTGTGGACTCAAGACCAGGTTATTCCTTGGCACCAGATTGAAATGTTTGAGTCAACTTCATGTTTTCTTGAGCTGTTTACCTGCAATTGGTTAAACTCCTCCTGAGGCTGTTCAGTTAGGGATTTTAGAATAGCTGGAGACTGGGCAGATCTGTGAGACTGCATTTCTACAGGAAGCACAATGTACTTATTCTTTTCACATCTGGGGAACAGTGTAACTGATGGGAAGTAGTTGTAGCCACTGGCTTCTGTTAGCACACGCTGGTAACTAGAATGAATTAGACATCACTGTCTCTTCTCTGGTGGATTTCCTTACACTGTTTAGTCTTATCAGCAGAAGTAGTGCTGCTTGTGCCTTTGGTCTGCTGGAGAAGAGTCTCTACCTGCCCTGTACAGCATTGCTTAGTGGTGCTGTGTTTGGCTCAGTGACCAGCTGAACCTTTGGCATGCGCCATCCTATTTGTTCCCGGGTTGCTCAGAGCACTCCCAGCATCCAGACTACATTACACCTTCTACCTTCTATCAATCTGAATTAATCCTGTCTACATTAATCGCATCCATCTGCTCGAATCTGCTTATGAAAGTACATTCTTGGCACTGGTCCAGTTAGACCAAAGCTGCACTTCTGTATTAATTAATTGCAGGAAAAAAAAAAAAAATCCCAGGCTCTGTAGGAGCATTTACATGCAAGCTGCAGAGCCACCAACAGCTTTTTTTTCCTATTTTGAACAGAAAGTGATGCTGTCAACACGTTAGTACAACAGTATTAGCAATATTTTGATGTGTAACAATATTTGTCTTTCTTTCTTGTTTCTTTTCATAACAGAGCACTGCAGTTTCCCCCTGAAGGCTGGCTGCGAATGTCTCTGAACAATGGCAGCATCACTCACTTGGTGATACGGCCAAATGGGAGAGTGGCCCTTCGAACGCTGGGTGACACAGGTTTCATGCCTCCAGATAAAATCACACGCACCTGAGGAGTGAAGGTGCTGGCTGCCTCTGGACTCTTTGCACTCATACACTCAGCTACAGTACCACTAGATTTTTATATGTTGTGATGCTGTCTTAAAAATGTCCTTCAGCCCCTTTGCCTCCTTCATGCGCACTCATATCTGCCTTCCAGTAAAGAAAAGAACTCTAGGCCTGAAGCTGTCCTGTCCTCAGGTATTCCCCAGAGCTCAAAGCTGAGCTGTGGAATACAAAAAGAGTGAATGTCTGTGTGCTCAGCAGCTGCAAGAGCACCGACTTTTTATTCCCCTGTGAATTCCTATAGCCAAAGCTTGCTCCTGTGGATATTTTTCTTGTGCAGGAAAATAATTGCTATGGGAACTGTATGAACAGCCTTGTATTGCACACTGCAGCTGAAGATGTGCCATCTTGTTTCAGCTGTTGCAGAGGAAGTGGCAAAATGAAGGTGTTCTGCTGTTGAAAGGAGAAAGGGTTAAGGCTTCTATTTTCATAAGCTGAGGAGGATGTACGTTTTTGTTGTGTCACTGTTCCACTCTGCTCTGAGAAGCTCATGTAAACTGCCTGGAGGTTGTAGGCATAAAGAGGGTAAGAAAACATTTGCCTCAGAGGTGTGGTGCTAGCATTAACTGCTGCTTATACTGAGTGTTCCTCCATCCTCAGGAAGTACTTTAAACTATTCTGAACGTTATTTTCTCAGCCTCATAAAGCCTTCCATTAAAACTTGATCTGTAGAAAGATGTAGGGATGGGATTTGTAGCAGTAAGACAAAAGCAATGTAAAGCAGTTTTATCTGCACATTCTTCTCGTTACTCTTATATTTACAAGGAGTAAACTTTTTTCCTTTTGCTTTCTCCCATGGATTTCTTTTTGTGGATTCCTTGCTTTTGGTGTAGAGAAATAGCAGCACTGAATTCAGGGCAGTAGTACTTAGGTCACAGGTTCTTCAGGATTGGGGCAGAGAGCTGCTTAAAACTGCAGTTGCCCAAATGATGACAGGGCGTCTCTGGTCTGGCTTCTCTAGACCAGAGCTTTGTGTAACCACCAGGCAAATGCTTTATGCTGAGCTAAGGTGCTCCTTTCAGTGGCTTTGGCACAGCTGGACTTGCGTAGGAAGAATAGAGGTGGCTGAGAATAGGTAGCATTTTTGAGAGGAGGGCTCAGAAGCATTTCATCTTACCGGTGTTTGATTAGCTCACAGTGCCTGTAATGCTGAAAAGTTCTGTATGCATGGTCTGCTGTGGTGATTGATTGTGCACACACTGCAATATGGTGGACATAAATAAGGTGTTTTATTGTCTATAGATTTTTCTTATCTTCAAAAATCTTAGAGGAAACCCCAGGCTGGCTCCTGTCAGAGCTGTGAGGCGTGATTGTGGCACACCACCCAGCAAGACAAGGCTTAATGTCTTGTTTCTTACAGGACTGCTACATCAGAATGACTCCAAGGGAACTGGGGCTCATGGGGGAATAAAATATGGTCGTTGTAGTGCAGCTTGTGGGGGCAGCAGGAAACTGTTGTGGTGTCTGTCTCATTGATGCAATGAGAATAATTTATCAGGTTTTTTGTCTATTAACTTTTTAAACGTTTTGAATAAAATAACTGGTCTGTCTTTCTTTCTTGTCCCTTCAGTTGAATAGCAAAATGTTGTGTCAGTTACCACTGCCTGGAACAGGAACACCAAACCTGTAAGATGAAAGTTCCATGCGCTGTGCAAATATTGCAGAGGTGCTAGAAAGTCTTCTCAAGGTCAATGCTAAGTAAGTGCACTCCTTGTTTGTTCCAGCACTGGTGGGACTGGTGTCTTCCCCCCTCCCTTCCCAGCCCTTTGTGGTGTCTGGCCACACTGCACATCCAAAACGCGTTTGCACACATAGAGAAATCAGCACTGTAACAGAAGTGCTGAGTCACGGCCTGAAGCAGTGATGGAGCACCTGGTGGGAAGGCAGGGCCAACCCAGGGGAGCTCAGGTTCAATGATTGGAAGGGGTGGAGCCAGGATCCTCCCCTTCCCAGACCTCATTTAAGGGGTGGCAGTGGAGGTGAGGGTATCTTGCTGGAGATCCCTGCGTGCCTGAGGCCTTCTGAAGGTAGGCAGATTTTCTTTTGTTTCTGTGCCCATGCCTGCTGCACTGGGGCTTGTTCTCATTTGCTGTAGCCTAGGATTGTGCTGCCCTGTTATTATTGCTGTATTTTCCATCACACTGTAGTCCTACAGCCACTTTTTTTAGCAGCACGTAAGTTGAGGTGTGGGAGGAGCATTAGATCTCAGTGTGTAATTTTGAATGCATTCAGATTTCCTCCTTCTTGAACACTGTGGTCCTACTTACATAGTGGCACAGTCAGACTGCCCTGTGCACACACACACACACAGGCTGTGTTAAAGAGTCCTGTTCAGCTGTAACTGGCCTGCACCTGGCCTTGATCCCAGCTGCTTATCACCTCCTGCCATGAAGCAAACACAGCCTGACACTTTGAGCACTCGTTTATTTTTGAATAGAAAGCAAAGTAACTGTATTTGTAACATGACACTTGGCTAATTCAAACAACAAACAAAAAACCCTGATCTTTTGCACCTTTAGAAGTGAACTGAAGCAACCCCAGTCTGATTCAGTGTCTCCACAAATTCCATTCTTCACAACTGTGAGTGATCAGTTGCTACATAAACTGCTACTTTTAAAAAATAGCTGAATTAAATATATTGTTTATTAGAAAAACTACCTCTTAAAATGCAGTACAACTGGAGTAATGCAAATCGTGTAACAATTAAAAAAATATTCTCTGGGCTGAACCAAACCAAATTACAAAGTGGAAGGCAGGGGATTGGGGGGAAGTGCTGCGGGGCTGGGTAGTGCCTCTGCCTGGCTCGGTGTGTACACACAAACATAGCAGTGATATACATGGAAATATTAAAAAAAAAAATCTTAATGTAAGAAGGACAGAAGGAAAAAGTACTACTTTGTTAGTGTCAGTCTGCTGGCTCTGACAAACTTCACAAAAGCACAATGTTGCCCTGTGAGGAAGGAAGAAGGGCCAGGTCTCTGCACAGCTTAGGACAGGAATCTGCCTTTATGCTTTTACCCATGTTGTCAGGTGATTATTTTCATTTAGCATGGTAATAATTTCTGCACAATGAGTGACATCGTTTATGTTGGATTCATTATTAAAAATAACCAAACCCCTCCCAAACCTTTTAAAACTAAAGCTGTAGGACTGTGGGCCCTGCAAAAGCACCTGGAGAGCACAGAGACCTCAAACAACAACAGAATGCTGAGCAGTCAGTTAGCTATGTTGTAGAGTATGTTTTTTCTTAAATATCTGCTCAGGAATGACCCCCACAGCCAAGCTGGGTGCCAGGAGTACCACTGAAGGGCAGTCCTTTGGTAAAATGGCTCTTCCTGATGTCCAGATAATTGAAAAAAGACATATTATAAAGAAGAATCTCAGTAAGTTCTTTTAAATAATTAATTTCTAAAATAGGAATGTTTTTCCACAGTGTCAACCTGTTGCACCAAATAAACTTAGAAAGAGACATTAAAATATCTTCAATTTAGAAATTTCAGAAGAAAAAACTTTTGTGCCCCACTGTAAGTAAGTGAGTGGATGACACATCTTCACTTTTAAAAGAACAAAAGTGTAATTAAAAATGTATGTTACAAAAGGCACTGTTAAGCTTGCAAAAGCACTAAGTGCATTTTTTAGGTTTCTACCAAATAAGGACCCTGTTTAAGGGTGTATGGGACAGCTGCTGCAGTGTGTGCTGGCCACAGAACGTGGCAGCCTGTGGCTCCTGCTGCCCTGCCTCTGTGGGTCAGCCCCAGTGACCCAGCACTGCACGATGGCATCCTGCCTGCAGTTACTGTCTCCTTAGGTGTAGAGTAAGGTTACAAAGTCCAAGGTTGCTTTTACTCTGTGGCACCAGTGAATCCCAACCCATCCTTTCAACTAGCACGCCACTGGCAGGTTCTAATTAATTTTTCTAGTTAGTTTTAGGATGTGAGGATAAGACTGGTTGCCTTTTTTTTTTTTAAACAGAAAGCTCCCTTTGAGTTTTGAAACTTCAGCAGTGTACAGCCAAAATGAGTGATTCTTTCAGGAGGCTAAAGAAGGAATAACAGAAATGGGTTCCCACGTCCAGCCTGGAGACACAGTGGCAGCTCAGATGCGTAGGCCAGTATCTGTAGTCCTCTCTTAGCAGCTGGGAACTGAGGAACTGTATCATGAGTCACTGGAGAGCACTGTACTGCATTACAGACTACACCATTAAGGTACATTACTGGTAAACTTGCTGAAATTATTGCTGACGTGCTTTTAATAACTAATTATTATGTTCTGCAAATGAGAAAAGCTGTTGTGGGGAAAAAGCGACTACTTTTAATTTTTTTAAATCTTCAAGCTACCACTGAAAGGATTACCAGTATTTCTACAGTGCCCTTTTACTAAAACACTCATTACATCATGTTAACAGTCTCAGGTTAAGACTCAAGGTTTGCTGTGTAAATACATGCATACATCTAGAAGTATGTGTGCATATATATTCGTGTGTGTGTGTATTCAACTGTCTCCATCAGCCTGCTGGCTGAAACAACTCCTTTCTGGCTATGTTGAAGGGTCCCACATTGGTACCCCACACTGGAACGCTGTCACCACCCAGGCTTTGTTGCAGGCTTTTCCAGTTGCACATCCCCCCTGTAAGCAGAACAACATTTTACATCTTGCCCTTAATTTCTTCTAGTAAGGTTTCTAGTAGGGTTTTACTGATGTGCTTCCTTCAGCCTACCCAAGCAAAGAAAAGTTGCTGAGGGCTAATGAGGTCGTTGTGCTAACGACAGCAGGTGACAGTGAAATGCCACCAGCTCTTAGACAAGGTTCAGCTCATTGCCCTGGGGGCAAGAAGGGAAAAGCCATAGCTACTGGACAACTGCACTGACCTCACTAACTTCTTGCATATCACCAGGAATCTGTCATCTCCTATATGACATAAAGACATATATTCAGTTTTTGTAACATACATTTGTCCTCAATTGAGGAAAAATAAATAGCCGAGTGCAAACCTCGTGTCACTTGAGTAGCATTGTAGTTTTTTTCCTTCACTCTGACAAAGAAAATTCAATTAAAGTTTCAGGAAAACGAAACGTCGTTTAGTGGGCAGGAGGCTCTGAAAAGTAACGCAGTTTTAACACAGAGTGGTTGACACAGGCAGGACTGTAGCGGCCAGGGCTCCCCAGATCTGGAGAGAACGAGGCAGCATTGCCATGGCTCCCCGGACTTCCCGTCATGGGACTGCTTCTTCCTGGACTAGAATACACTGCAGCATTTGGTGGGCCAGCAGTTGCGCTTTGGGACCTGAATCTTCCCTTTAGTGATGGACTTGGCCAGCTGAAAGAAAGACAAAGTCATTTTGCGTTACGAATGGCAAAAAGAAGAGCAGTCATTTTCCTCAGAATCCCTTGCAGAAATCGTAGAAAAAAATGCACAAGCAGAGAACAACCGGAACGGGTCGTAGCTGGGATTGAGAAGAAAAAGAGACAGCACAGTATGTGCCATTTATTGAGACGTGTTGCTTAATGAGTGAGATGCAATTTGCTCCAAAATGGCCATTAAGAAATAGGTGTGTATTTGTGAAGCATCTCAAGAAAAGGCTTCAGGATCTAAATGTGTATGTTTGGTGGCCCTGCTAGGCAGGGGGGTTGAAACTACATGATCCTTGAGGTCCCTTCCAACCCGGGTGATTCTGTGTGATTCTGTGATCAAAGGTGACCATGGCTCAGTCAGTGCCAGAGCTACCAGCATGGATATGATTTCTCTCCCCACCTTCTTTTGTCAAGTTCTCCTTGTGGTGGCTGCCACACAAGTAATAAGATAAGGTGGATACAACAAATATATTAAGGTTTTTAATATGTACGGATGCAGGTAATTTAAAACCTTTTGAATTACTTTTATCAGACAGCTCTGGTCTTTGTGTTTTGCTTTAGGCAGAGGTACCACTGTACAATGAAGGAGCTGACAGAGCAAGCTTTGGCACTGTCAAATAATTAGTTCAAGGCATAGTTTTTAAACATTGTTATGTGATAGAACAGTGATTACACCTAAAAGTCTTGCATGCAGTTTTAGCACTTTAGAAGAACGCGTTGAACCTCTCAGACATTGGAGTAAGAATGAAAAAGAAGCCTATTAATTAGCCTATTTCATAAAATTAATCACAGCAGGCGGGGAACAAGAGAATTTGACTCTGAAAAGTGAAGGAGTGGAACAAGGACACTGCATCAACCAGGCATAAGAAATAACTGCCTATCTATCTCTACCCCACTGGAAATGGATGTTTTCTCCCACCAGTACTTAATGGCTCTATTTCAGTGTGCTCTTTGAAACACAGCCAGAAGCTGCTGTTTGTTTCCAAGTGCCTGGCACACACGCAGCTTGTCCTGCTCCTCATCTGTATCCCAAAGCAACTGCACTCAAAATAAAATGTATAAATGTGCACAGTACCTATTCAGGCATACCAACTACTGTTACCATTATTTGTGTAGCTTACAGTGACATTCTTTCTAAAAACTGACCACATTCTGTAGTTGACATTATTCATTCCTTTGGAATAGGGTCACAGAATGTAAAATAAGATGCATGAAAATACTGAATGAACAGCCCCCTGCACATCAGCCCCTGAAAACAGTACAACATTACTGTATTGCATCCACAATGGAATTACCACCACTGTTATTGTTACTGCATAAATCCTTCCTTGGACCTAATTAATAAATCAGCAACTTGGCACCTTGACCAAGGAGAAAACACTTGTGCTACTGAAAGCGTTGCTTTCTGTCTGTGTAGCCTGTACAGAGATGCTGAGGTTACTAGGAACTGCAGCATGCTCTGAGGAATTTTGATTGAACCAGTAAACTTTCCTTATTAACAGATACCAGCCAAAATATCGTGCTGACTAATTACTGAAGCACACCTATAGCTAATGCAGTTCAGTATTCCTAATGAGGTATTTCTGAGTAGTGAGGCCTGAAATCCTAACTGTTGAAGCTGTTCTGCAGTTAGCCCACTGAAAACAATATTTCAGCTCATTTGTTTGACTTTGCAGAAATACCTTTGCCTGTCAGCTGAAGTGTAGGACTGCACCTTGTGTTTCCATCTGTAAATGGCAGGGTACTTCTGGGAATCGATCTGTACTGCTTCGATAGCTGCCAAGACGTCACTGTCCAGCTTTGATGGACGCTCCCTAGAATAACACAGAACCAGATGAAAGGAGAACTACACATTTGTCCAGGCAGTGACATCCCAATTCCAAAGCACTTCTTATTCTAATAAAAGCAAACAAATCGGCAGTGTTCCTCTCTGCACTTCCTTAGCTTCTCTAGGAACACTTCTCAGCAGACCCAGAAGTAAATGACTGCCCATTACTATGCAGCAGCCTCATTTGAAAAAAAAACCAAACCTCTGAACATGTAATCTGAGGACATGCCAAGAGTGGTGAACACTATATTAATCTAAGTCGGGCTCTCCACAAGGTTCCAAGCCTGGCAGGTGAATGGTAAACAGCAGTCTGCTGCAACTGTAACTAGGAAACAAAGAGGTTCTTCTGCTCCTTGTGTTTTAGCTAGAGTTAGGTCATTAACTGCAAGAGAACTACGTGGCTACTGTACAAACGTTGGAGTACTTAATAAATGAGTTGTTGCTTAGTATCACATGATTTCAACCTTGCTGGTGATGACATTACAGTTAAGTATCTCATTTTGCATATACGGAACACAGGGCAGAAATAATACGTACCCAAGCAGAAATAATTTCGTAGAGTTGTCGTTTGCCAGTGAAGTCTTCAACAGAAATTTCTGGGCAGGTTCTTGAGACTGTTGTGCCTCATTAGGCTGGATTCCAGATTCCACAGACAATCTTTCCCTTCCTGACTGCATTTTATATTCTGTCCTTAGCTTGGTCTCTCCAGGCTTCCCTGTAACGCTTGGCTCAGAAGAACTCGCTGGTGAAGCTGCGTAGCAGGATTTATCCAGCCAGTCCTTGGGTATTCTAACCTGGCTTGTTCTTTCAGGCAGAATTCTCTCGTTCTTAATTCTTTCACTGATGGTATTTGATTCTCCTGCACCCGCTTGTGGCTGGAATGTTAAGCTTTCAAATTCTGACATTAAATTGCAAACAGGTGACACAAGGCAATCTTCTCCGTCATGCACATGCTTTCTGTCACCAATTATCCTTTCGCTGGCCACAGGGTTACAAAATCCATTTTTGCTGGAAGAAACCCCCTTCTCATAGTGCCTGGGCTGAGCTGATGTTTCTATGATGTTTCTGGTGTGCTCCATTGACAAGATTTCACACTCAGCATCTCCAATAGCATCAATGCTGGGTTCCTTCAGCACAACAGGTGGGCTGTTATTCCGTGCTGCGTTTTGTCTGTTTTTAATCTCTTCTAAGCTCATGTCATCATCATCCTCATCCAAAAACGCTCCAACAGAAATAGAATTGCAGCACTTTTTACTCTTGCCTGGAAATAATTTAGTAAGAATAATGTGTAAAAAGACTTGCAACTCCCATCAAGTAAAGTGGGAACAAAAACACACCTTTCACCACAAAGTGTAAAGGATTATTATTCTGTTTTAAGAAGTTACTTATTCACTGTCTGTGGATTACAAAATTCCATGCTCTACCAAGGAATTTCCAAATGCTCTGAGTAAAAAATATACTGCAAGTAGAGAGGTCTTCTTACAGGAATTTCACTTAGGGGCTACAATCACATAAAGGACATCTTCTGAGAGCTGTTCTAATTCTCCCACATCCATGTTGTCCTTAGCTACTTTTTCAACAATATAATCAGACTGTTTGGATAACAGATGAACGACAGCAACCACAACAGGTGAACAGTCTCCCTGGACACCGTGCTTTCTCCCCTCCCTCTTCTCCCTAGGTACACCCTGTTGTTTGTAACATTTGCCCTGTCCTTACCAGAAGGATGTGGCGTTTTGTGTCTGTTGCAGGTTTCATTTTCCCCTGTTTCTTGCTGAGCCTTTTCGCTCATTTCCCGATGGCTCAGGTACTCTTCTAATTTTCGCAGCCCCTCCTGGGAAGACAGATCAACAAAACAGCCCAGAAATTCCCAGTATTCAACCCACGGGAACCCCAGTTCATGAGCTAACTCCCTGCAATAAATAAAATAAAACGAATCATTTGTGAAGACATGAATATTATTTTGACAATAACTTTTTCTGAACACATTTTATCAGCTATGAGCAGGAATATAAATATGCAAGTAGGCAACAGAATTCTGCAACAATCAACAGTCTGCAACAACACACAGTTGACACACACACATTGTTACCAAGCATGCTGTAATCTACTTTTTCTAGACCAGTTTTCCATTTTTTTCTTGTTTTTACATTTAGCAGTGTACATATTGCTGGTTTTAATCTGATTGTATCCAGACATCAGACAGAGATGAATCCACACTAACGTAGGCAAAATTTGAACAAGACTCCATTCAGTAGCTTTTTTTAATTGGGAATGGAAGAAAGTAGGAGGGAGCAAAGGCTGACTTAAAGGAAGAAATGCAGGGCACTTATAGCAAGGTATGTTTTCTGCAGGTGCTGCTGATACAAAGCATTTCAACAGCAAGGACACTGCAACACAGTTCAGTAAAGCAGAACATTTGCATTGGGAACTTTCCATTCAGCTATCTTTTAACAGGGGAAGTACCCTGTGCATAGCTTTAAATCTCCTGGGATTTGAATTTGAGAAAAACATTCTATACATATCATCAGTAACAATTTAAATATCTCTTTACTTCCAAAGCTGGACAGCCAAACCAGGTCCCATGTTTTTACCTGAACTATTCTGTTTAGACAGAAGTGCAGTAAAAAATCCAACTGCAATATACTTCATAAAATATTTCCAGCAGTATTTGCCTAAAGAGTGTGTTTTACTATCCAACTCAGTACAATTGTTTCGCTTTTAATTACTCTATTGTTAATTTTCTGTGCTGATACTCCATTAGATACCTTCCAACTCTTTCAACACCTCTTTCCAGATCAGATTTCCTGACGTTGTGAAAGAAGCCAGCTCTGTCTCGGGGTGGAGTCTTCCACAGCCTGCGAAATTCTTCAGCCTTTAAAAAAAGAAATAGTTTTTTAAAACTCTGCCCCAACATGGAAGTTAATCAGTGCTAAATGCTTCCCTATAGCTCTAGAAAACATTTTGCTGTGCTCGGACTCAGCTTCTGCCACTGGTATTGCTCAACTCTCACTACAAAAGTCTCACCAGGGATCTAAAGGCAGATACTCCTCCCTGTATGTTTACTGATACATCTCATAGCTTACTTCTGTGGTCTCGTAACTGCTTGCTTATTAGAAGAATGACAATGATATATAACCACCTCGAAGCAACCTGGCTAGATATGAAGTCTAACAGGTTTTCATTTGTGTGCAGTGGGAAATAAGAGGCATGTCTTACAACACTGCACTTTCATTTCATGACACACACTCTCCTGGTCAGTACTTTCCAAGGCACAAAGGTGTTCTCATATACATATTGCTGGTTCCACAGACTGGAATCAGTTACTGTAACATGTTCCTGCTGTTTGAACACTTGAATGAAGGGATTTCTGCAAACTCCCAAGCTTTATGCCTTTGTGTTCAGACATCAGAAGTATCTGCCAGCAATCAAAGTAACGCCTTACTTACACAACATACAAATTTTTTCAGAGTATAAAACATGTTCACATTTCTGTCAGGTGAACAGAAAACTGACCAAAGAGCATCTTTAGAAGAAAAGAACACAGTAAGCATTGCAGAGAAACTCAGACCTGGAAGAGCTCAGACATCACACGACATCTCATGCTCCCACTGTGCCTGCAGCGGCCCTACTGCCCACATGCTCATATTAAGCAAATGACTCATTAAATGCCTACTGATTTACAACACATATAACTGGTATTTCAGTGTTCCACCTGAAAAAAAAAGACTGTTTTCTACTATACAAGCACAACTCTTCTAGAACTATCCAATATCTACTATTTGCTTGCCAAAAAACATCCACATGAATTCAGTAAGTAAAGTTGAAGTGCTTCAAACTTTCAAACAGAAAGGAGACCAAGAATTTTTTTAATCCCATCCACAGCTCCACCTTCACTAAACAGCACCGACGTCACACGAAGTTCTCTTCAGCTCCTTACCTTGGAGGGACTCATGGGGCCTGCGAAAGCTCGTATGGACAACACGGGATCTTTGGGGCTGCCCGTGTACCTGGACAGAGCTGCCTGGGGACTTTCATCTGTCTGATCCGGTGACCACGGCGCCCCGATCACAGGAGCTGAGGAGTTGTCTTCTGCTCTCAGGAGTGGCACATAGTATCGACCTGGAATAAAACAATACCCAGCTTTCTTAAGCTGATCTTACATCAGCTTGCTCTTTCCTCCTAGAAGATCAATACACCTGTATACTTAACCTTAATCTGACTTCACTTTATCGGTAAAACTCAAATATAATTCAAATTCACTGTTTCAGTGTTTATTGACTGCTTGCAGATCCTAGTCCAGGCTCCCTTCTGTCTCAAATGCAAAAATACATGCACTGATACATACAACAGTTTCTAAAGGATTTTCACTCAGCTTCAAAGCCTGTTTTACAGATGCCTGAACTTGCATGTGACAGAGAGGGAAGACTTTCATGTCAGGGAAACCACACGGACATCAAACATGACCAAGGAACCTCTGGACCGTGGAGGTCTTCTGTTTGATTTAGGAGAAATGTTTTCTGCTGGAGCCATGCTGAATAAAATAATGCCTATGTTACAGAGAGCTACGAGGAAAACCCTGCAATCCATACAGCATGAGTACCAACCACATAATTTAAAAGACACAGTAAGTTTTCTGTTCCCAGTCAGTTTTAGAGCTTCTCTGATTTTTACAGTACTGTACAGCAGCATCTCTTATGGGCAGGAATGCAACAGAAAACCAACAGAAAACACTGAGAGTCTGACAGAGTATGTCACATGCCTGATGTAGTTTAAACTGAATACTGACCTTTCAAATACTCTCTCAGTTTTTCTTTCAATTCTGCAGATTTATTCTTGCTTCTCTCACAAACTACCTGTTAATAAAACATTAGTGTTTTACTAATAAAACAAAAGACATCAATTTCCAATCAACTGCAAGGTATTTCTCAATAGCCACACTATTGGCCTTCAACCATTTCATCCAGTTCTTTTAATTCAGAGTGTAACTGACCACTACAATACACACTTATCCATAAAAGAGGTACCATAAACAAAAAGCAGTGAATGCTAACATCCAGAACTTTGCTCTAGAGATAATCAACACAAAATATTTGCAATGTTCCCAGAGATTTTCATTCTGAACATGGCACTGGCAGCTCAGCCTGTGAAAGAAGCAGTCTGTGAATGTTCAAAGTTGAAAAACCCTGCTTTGGCATTTGACTTTGTTGTGGACACGGACAGACTTACTTCTGCTGGAGTTTGATCATATTTATTCCTTGAGTTTTTTACAATAGCCGGGTGTGAGGTAAGCACATTAACCACATCCAAATTGCCAAACTTGCAGGCAAAATGCAAAGGAGTATCAAATCCCTGTGACATTAAGAGAGAAAATTCACATGTATTTGAAAACATCATAAAATCAGTACCGTATGTTTTGTTTTGAAGCTAGGGTAAGCAAGCAAACAGGGCTCATAACAGATCCTTTCCCATAGCACTGTGGAACAACGACTGTTAAAACCCACAAAACCCATGACCAGCTATCTTTTGCTAAAATGGTCCCTTCCCTCTTTTCTTTTCCCTTCTGTTTCCTTCTGGTAGCTTTCACAGGCATCAGGAACCGTCCCACATCCCAAGTCTCACCATCTTATCCGGTGTATTGAGGTAAAGGTCAACGATGTACCGGATGCGATTCCTTAGCATCGCGTCGTCGTCGTCCGGATACATGAGCCGCATGAATTCAGGATTTTCCAGAGTCTCCAGTAACTGCTGGCAGATAGCAGGCTGGTTCTCCTTGGCAGCAACGTGCATGACGTTGTACCTGCACCCCTCCTGAAAAATAAATCAGAACTAACTGAAATCCAACTGCTTGCTTACACCTGCACACAGGGAAGAAGTGAAAAGCAGGGAAGCACATCCATCCCAGTTACACTTATCAGGCCTCAAACTCATATTACTAGACCAGAACTTGGAGATATACATTTATTTATGTATTTATTTTACCTGTACAACTGTTGGATTGTCTCCAGATCCAATAAGATAGCGAGGATTACTCCAAATAAGTTCTGAAAATGTTGATACGTCTCCTTTCTCCACAGCTTTCCGAAGCTTAGCAGTAAGATCCTGGGTACGTGGACTTTTGTAACTGTTGGCCCTTTCCTTGTTAGCAGTTTCCATCTCAAGTGAGCATAAGCCATCTATTAAAACACAAGAGTCATGCTTCTAGCTGCTCTCTTTTCAGTGATTGCTATTTTCATGCCACCAGCATAAGCACTTAATCCAAACTATCTATTAACTTTGCATCTTTAATGTAAAGAAGTTTCTTTAAAAAATAAAGATTATTGGCATTTTAAGACCCTGGTAGTGATAGGAGGTAGGGAAGAAAATACAACATAATTGACCTATAGAGTTTTTTAGTCCAAAATAAAGTCTAAAACAGCCTCACAACAACCAGCCTGCTTCCACCCAAGCCTGAAATGAAAGTTCAACAAGAACTTCCCGTCCATGCAGCCTGTTAACATTTCAGCTTCAGAAGAGAAGCAGTATTTTTTAGTGCAAACTTCAAGCAAAACTGTACAACTATCATCATTTTTTAAAAGTAACAAATTTACCATCAGGCCCATTTCAAAGTATTCAGAGGTTTCAAAATACTGCTCTGAATTTTTTTCCTGTTATTAGCACACTCCTAATGAAGGGACTGATTCCCTTCTCTCAAAGAATTACCACTCTATATTGTGTCTGCTGTACACAGATGAATATCCTCCAAACCTCTGTTCAGTGATCCTGTTTTCATTGGAGACAAACACAGAGAGGACTTGCTTGGAGATGGAAAGTAATCACAGATTCCTTTAGCAAATTTCTCAGCATCTTCCCTGTTTGAAAACGCTTTGAATCGTGAACCTTTAATCATCTTCACAGCTTGGAGAGCTTCCTTCTTATCTTCATAAACGTGTATTCTCTCTGAAACACAGTACAGCCACAATTCAAGCTATTCAAGTATTCAGCTATTCAAGTAATCTCAGATTTGTTCATAGAAACAGTCTGAAATTATCAAGCCATCCTCACAGTTTGGTTTCTCTACAAACATGGCCAGAAAATCAAAGTCTATTTAAATTTTACCTCTAGAAAACTGAATAGAAGAATATTACACATTGCAGGGGGCATCAGGGGATATCTGTACAGTGCTCAGACCTTCACATTCACCAGATGTGAGCGCCTGTTTCATACAGGTGAGCCTACATCAACAAGAGAGCATTTCACACCTAGACTGAAAAGCGAACCAGGAGTTTATTCGCCCTGCATTTCTGTCCCTGTTGCTCTCTACAGAGAGTTCAGCTACCAAATGACCCGTTGCCATCACTGTAAGAACCTCTAAAAAGAACCTTTGATATTCATCAAACCCTTCTCCTTCCTCTCCCTTTGCATTTAAGTTACTTTGTTCAACTAAAGACATCCGAATGTCGTTGGAACGAGAACAAATCCCAGTGCCTCAGAGGACCATCCTGATTTTCCAAAGTGACTGAAATGAGTCAACTGAGAGCACAACATTAATTCTAAACTTTAAGTAACCATGTTACTAAAATCAATTAATGTTAATGCTATTGATCACCTCCTGTAACATCTTCTTTAACATCTGTCTCCTCACTGCAGTACCTAAGCACCACTGGACTCTCAGTCTCAGTCTGTTTGACTACAGAGATTGCTAGAAAGACTTCACAGAATAAAATTTCAATTTAGGTCCATAATTATAAACAGAATAAAATACATAAAATACGTATCCATCCATAAGATACATTTGTTAATAATAAAGCTTAGTCCTTTCAAATATTAGCCTGACGTTTAGTATTTCAGTACTAATTCAGATATGTCCATAATTAATTCCTGCCAATTAAAGCACACACAAGA